TTATTATTATTATTATTATTATTATTAAAACGTGATGCTTGTTTGTATCGCACAAGCCGCATTCTTTAGAGGCTCAGACACGCTCACTCACTCTCACTCGTGCACCCAAACATCACAGAAATAGAATAATGGTAGCTTCTAATCACGACAATGATGTGATACGCTGCCCACAATTATGGCAAAGTTATGCGTAACACTGGTGCACATTACGCCGAGCTTGTGACAACTTAATCAAATTATTTCGGCCACTCTCACGCCGATTCCATTTTAAATTTATACATCGGATTAATGAACTTTAAATGTTGCAGCTTTCTCGATTATAACATATTTGTGAGAGTGGGCTTAAATCCGTTCTTCAAGCTGTGGCAATCTCGGTGTATCAGGGGCTCTAGATAGAATCAATAAGTGATAAGGGACGGCTCCCGTCTGCGCCACAATGCTGTGTAGCCATCGTAGGATGATTAAAACCTACACACCGGCATTGTATATAAAATAGCCATTGATGTCAATCTTTACATATCATTTCCAACTTGTCTCTCTATCACGATAAACCGAGGGTATTGAATAGATCGTTTAGCGTATAGAGAGCTCCGAATATCTGGTTGTTTTTGAGAGCAACGTTTATCATCGTTTTGTAGATTGGCAATGTTTAATTAAAGTATTACTGGTACTATGTTCTATCTCTGTACGTGAAATTGATGTATCTGAATTGTTCCTAAATGCGATATATGTATTAGTAACTATCTTCACTTGGCGGGAACGGCTCGTGCGAAAGATGCATGCGACACTTGCGCGGCACGCGTTCTGCATATTGTTTTATCTGTGTTCACACGCCGAAGGTGAGTAGATTTCTACCCTCCGAGTATCTGTACATTATAAGCAGAGACATTGCCATTTAAGCAATGTAAACTTTTAAAAAAAAGACAAATAAGAACCTGAGTAAAACCTGAATTGTACGATGTGCCGCCTAACCTTTCTCCGACCTCAATGGAAAATAATGTCTTCTCAGAGAGGGAAGTCATAGGGGCCATTTTGACTTCTTTTCGTTTAATTGTGTTTCCACATTCGACTTACAGCGCAGTGCGTGCGACTCATGAAAGGTTCAACAGTGTCAGAGATGGAGGGAAGAGTGGAGGTGTTTCACAACGGAGTGTGGGGCACCGTATGTGACGACGGACTGGAGTCTTCCAACGCTTCCAGTGACGTCATATGTCGGCAGCTAGGGTACAGGTGAGCCCCCCCCCCCTCTCTCTCATGTATAATCCCAAGTGATTTTCATTTCATTTTGTTAAATGCAGCAGAAAATTATATGTACAAATAAGGAGGTGGCGAAGTGTGCAACTTGCCCCTATTTAGTACTACAACTGACATGTCTACGGGTTTGCTTTGACATTTTTTTTTATTTTGCGTAATCTATCAGTTATTACTTTAATTAATCAAACTCTTTTTTGTTAATATATAAACTCAATAAGCATATCCTCTGATACGTAAATGTGCAGGCCTTTAAAAGAAGCAAAATATCATACGTATTTAACCAGCAGGTAAGGGGCTATCGCTGTGTGTGATATGCCCCTGAGAAACAACAGGAAAGAATAAATGAATGAATGCAAGGAAAATATGCGCCATGGTAAACAGTTGTAGCTCAGGCCCGTAGCCAGCAATTTCAAAAGGGGGTTTCTTTTTCTGAAAAAGTGGACCTTTTCCCATAAAAACTTCATGTACCTAGATCAAATTTTACCCAGAGTGGACTTTTTCCCAGCAAAATGGGCGGTTCTTTCGAACCACCCAACCCCCCCCTGGCTACTGGCCTGTAGCTTCTTGTCACAGTAATACATACATGTATCATTCGTTATCTGGCCAGGGTACCGCGTCCTGTTATCTGCAGCCATTGTTTGTATCGTGACGTAATGCATTGTAGCAAGTGTCATAACTTTACGTCACGTATTAGCGGTGACCAAAATTAAAGATGTACTACCTTCGCGGTACAGATTTTCTGTACCCACGTATCCTGTAGAACTATGATACAAACCACTTAAATAAATGTATAATGTTGACATTTTCTTTTGAAATGCATATAAAGACATGGCGGTCTAAGCGACTGAAGAGTCATTTAGAATTACATGTAGCCTATATCATTCAGGGGCGGATTTAGGGCGTCTTCTGAGTCTTCCGGAAGACGGTCAGATTTTCAAGTTTACATTGACGGGTATCTAATTTTTTTGTGTCGGAAGACGGTCAAAAATGGAGGATGGATCAACAAAGATAAGTTGGAAGACTGTCAGAAAATATCTGTGGATCCGCCCCGTCATTCAATTAAAAATAGCATTAATTAGTGCTTTCAGCTGCCATAATTGTTTTGTTTTTCTAGTTGGCAAAATCGTTTTTGAAAAACGGTACTTGAAATTAGCCACAAAAATTTGATTCAGCGAAATAATACTGGACAGAATACTAGTACCTGTATTTTTTTCTGTTTGTGGGTTTTGTTATATGTGCCTTACAAATTAAAGACTTTGACATACGTTCCAGGAGTGGCATGTTCATACCTAATACTCCTAGTCTGTTCGGTCAAGGCAGTGGTCAAATCCTTCTTGACCAGTTAAGCTGCAAGGGCAATGAGCTGGCGCTGGACAACTGCAGCCACTCTGGGTGGGGCCAACACAACTGTGCCCACGATGAGGATGCCGGTGTACGGTGCTTTGGTAAGTGATTTTGAATTATTTTTACTTTTGAATTACTTTTAAAACTTATTTAGGGCAGTTTCCATTTCTGAAAACAATTTAAACTAGGTGTGCATAAATATGATGTTTGATTTTATGAAACAGGTGCTTTGGTAAGTGAGAACAAGTTCAGTTGGTTATTTTTAATTACTTAAAAACTTATTTTGGTCAGTTTCCATTTTTGAAAACAATTCAAATCTAGTTGCCCATAAACGTGACGTTTCATTTAATATAACAGGAAAACAAGAAGTTTCTGTTCGATTAGAAGACGCTACGGTTATCCCGTCAGACAGTGCTAAATTTGCCTCGACGGTCCAGGGTCGAGTTGAAGTTTTGTACAATGGCGTTTGGGGAGACATCTGCGCCGACAGCTGGGACGAAAAAGACGCAAAGACTGTATGCAGAATCTTGGGACTTGGGTAACTGTCTTTAGAAATCAACCCGTGTCTCTAACGAAATATGATAAGAAAATCCAATGTGTCTGATGTAATCGCTCGACAGGTGGTTGGCGTGTAGTATTTCTTCCATTTTTAGAGATGTTGGCCACGGAATTGCTCTCTTTGCTGTAATCTGCATTCATCTTATTCACAATGTCTACATAGATCTACATAATAAGCGATACATTATTTAACACAGAAATGTCCACCAATTTTATCGAAAAATTTTAATATTTTTTCACTTTATTCAGGCCAAAAACTACACACAAACTACAGAAACAGTGGGTATATTTCAATCCACCATGAACTGAGTCGCCACATCAACTATTGACACACACTTTTTTCATTAGAATAATTTAATTATAGCGGCTCAAGCATACAAGCAGTTGCCATTGAGCACGTGGCGTCATCTCTCCTCTGGCTCACAGACGTGGAGTGCTTTGGCACGGAGCGCAGCCTAGACGAGTGTCGACACAGCGGTTGGGGCAACACGGCCACCTGTACTGGAGGGACAGTGGCAGGGGTTAAATTTACAGGTACATAAACTCTGAGGGGAGTTTCAACTCCTCGCATGATAGAATGATATCGTATTACTCAAGGCTAAATAATGGCGAGAGAAAATAATTAATGCATTTTGTTGTGGGCGACCAATATTTAAAAATCCATGCAAAAAATAAAAAGAAATGAATGAATATGGAGTAGACAGTGAACATTATGGGCATAGAATTAATTACAAGATTCGCTCCGTGAAATATTTCGGAACACACTATGTCTTAAAACTGAAATCTGCATCTTTAGATTTTCTTTTAATTGCTTCTACAGTTTTCATATTTTTAATTTGCCTTTCCTTTCTGTCTCGTGCAGTAGCAAGTGGGTTCACCACAACGCCTTATTCTATCAGGACACCAACCGTAAACGCTAGTACGGCCAAACATGTGGCGCCACCTCACGACAAGATGGAGAAAAATATCACCTCCTCTGGCAACAGTAATTCAGTAATGAGTACGTAGTTGAAAGTTGGTACTGTATAGTTGCGCCTGAGACAATACAAATAGAGAGCAATAAATAATTTACTTCTATCCTTTCTTTCAGTAGATATTCATGTAATTTGGCACAGTCAAATGTTGCAGTAAACTTGGGGAGTTTTGCCTTTCTCAGATATACATCTCAGTATTGTTAATGATATATAAATTAGAAAAAAAAAGATGACCAAGGCTAGTGACTGTCGTCATTTTCGTATCATTTACTTTTCAGCGCCGTCTGTATACGTGTTTGTAGCAGGAAGCGCTGCTGTCTTCTTCCTCGTTCTCTCCGTTATGTTTGGATTCTGTTATGTGAAATTAAAACGCAGGTCTGTAGGGAAGTCAGTTTGTATTATATTTCAGACAATAACCTTAACGAATACAGTTGCTTAGGTCATATTATTATAATGATTTGCTCAAATTCAGCAGGGGTTGTGTTTTACGTCCACACAAACTTCCATTTAAACATTAAAATAATTGAACGCAGATGGCAAAGGAATAGCCCCATTTTGTTTAGAAAAAGCTCCACCAACACGCGTAAAACCTCTATATTTCAACACACTATATTTATTCACCCATATTTATTTTAATTCTCTCAGGTCGGGAGTTTTGCCTATGACACCCGTCAAAATGGAGCACAAAAAGATTGGATTCATCAAACAAAATTCTTTTGACAGTACAAGCAATCTTCTCAATGCGTCGAAAATATCTATCGTCACAGACGTAAGCAAACAGCTAGAAGATGCAAGCATAAATGACAACAACGAGTGGCCACGAGGAGTTCAAATTCGCGCCAAGTTGCCACAGCAACAACAGGAGATACCACAAGGTACCTTGGGAACAAAGTCACATGGTCTTCAGGAAGCCATTTCAATGAGCAATCTAAGCGTTCAATCTGGAACAATGAAGCCTATAGGCATTGCGAGCGCGTCTCCGAGAAACACCCTTCAGAGAACCGGCGACAACGACAGCAGTGACCATCCTGTGATAAATGAGGCGACGTCACGGTATTCCCAAGACGTGCAGCTTCGAAGAACAAATGCCTCCCCCGGTCTTAGAGCAACGCTTATCCGCGAACCAAACGCGCCTCCGAAAGACAATCCCTTCCAAACTTACAGCAATCTTGTAGAGTTAGGCCTACAACAAGCACATAGCACTGACAGCCTAACTCGGGATAAGCAGAATGAATTAGTGTATTCGTACGCTGTACCTGCGGAGGTGAAATCACAGCCTCCTCACTTAGCATCTCTTCCACGAAGACAAGATACAGTTGACAGCAAGGGCTACCTCCAGTTTCACCCAGGTCACGCGAGTTATCTCGAGATTATGGAACAACCACCCCAGAGTGCCTCGCCTATCAGTTTCACTGATACATTTATTTCTGATAGTTTTGATGATGATGATATTGGCTATGAACCGTGTCCTGGTGGTCAAAGGGATTATCCGCTGCATAACCCAGTGCAGTACGTCAACTCTGGATTTGTCTCTGACACCGCTGTTTAAGTCGTTTAAACATTGCAAGTTAATATTCTACTTACGATTCCAATTTTTACGATCAGGTGCTCCATAAAACAACTTTTTCAAACATGGGCTGAACATTACAGGTTTTCCAGACAAAATCTGTAACCAAAAAAGTGCACCTGTGTCAGTGTCTGTACATAAACCCGTAGCTTTGGTGTCAGCAGATATCAGCATTGGTCCCTAATTAATCATAACTGATAAAATGGTTTGAAAATAGATATATCAGTAACTGGTTGGGGGTTGGCATGGTTGGGGTTGCGAGTTGGAGGGCGAGGAAAAGAATCAACAAACCGGAGAACGGTGGACAGATCTGGCACGGCCCGCGCATCTAAAAGTCCATTATTTTTTTAAAAAAGCAAAGCATTGTCCACTTTTTGCCGTGAATCACCCTTACGTGCCATGGTTTCATCTATCAGTATAGTTCACTTTATCAGGGTTGCGAAATCTCCAGGCAAAGCCCCGAGTTGGCCTGACTCAACATTATGCGCACCATTTTATGATTTTTTATTGTCTTTTTCATGGTTTTTACTGGCTAGCTAGATTGTGTGTGCGGCGTTCATGCTTGAGGAATGTACGTGTGTAGGCGTAGAGTGTGTGCAATGCTCCTATGCGAAGGTGATATGACCGCTATCATTGAAGAATCGGATTTAAACTGAAACTTTTATATTAACTGAAAGCTTGAAGCACAGCTGATGTTATGCTTTGCATTCTAAGCAACAAAATCGAAAGGAAACAGGAGTTTATGAATTTCCATAAAGATAAACAGATTTGTTAATAATATATGTGTAATTGCTAGGACGCATTGAAGTGTACGTTATTTCTAGTGACCTATTCTTCTTTCATTGTATGCATCGGATACACAAATGGCTTTCGAATGAATGGGAATAATGAATAGCGTGTTTTTTTACGTATGATGTAAGCTTCTCTATATCATTTTATCATTTCGTGTGGATAGTAAGCCAAAATAATGTGCGTATGAGTAAGAGAAAATGACAAAAAAAAAAAAAAAGAGAAGTAAAAAAGTGTGATGTGTGCAATCAGGACTAAGAATAGAAATAAAAAAGGTAAATGTTACTGTTTTCACAATTTCTGGAATTTGCTGAAAGGAATTTTATAATAAAAAATACAAAAAGATATCTGCTTTGCATTAGTTTCTTCATACATGTTTCCGAATTTTAGAAAAATGTGAACAACTATCGTGGCAACAGATTTAATCGGCCGGAGTTCGGAGACCACTTTCAAATTTAAATGAACAATCTCGAGCTTATGGGAAATGTTTTTGTTTGTTCCTCGGTATCAGATCCTTTCAGCTAATTATTTTGGCCATAAGTAATTGAAAAAACTTTTCTTGCTATTTCTTGCTCTGCCCTTCCTATACAAAGGTTGTTACCACATCCTCTCTTCAAAAATGAAATGGCGGCTTTATGACCTCGTCCTTACCAAATTGTTTCTTTGTTTAATTGTTTCATATTTTTCAAATTTTTGTAATTGTTCCACATTTTCCAAAATATCTTCGCGGGGGAGGGAGGGCGGCAAATCGCTTGTCACGTAAACTGAACCTTCATCCGCATACATAATACAAAGTAAGTTGCAAAGCACTTACTTTTTCGCGGAAGCACTTCAACAGCCATCACCTGAAACTTATCAAAAACAACTCAAACAATTCATTTTGCATAGGATATTGAGCTTTACTGACTTAATCCAGTAATAATACAGCACGCGTTCCTATCAAAATTTAACAAATTGTGACAATATTGTGAGAGGGGATCAAGAGCTTGTTAACACACTGAGGTAGCACTGAGGGTTTGCGTCTTGATTACCCTACAGCAAAATCATTAGTACATATTCGTTGTATTTACAATTTTCTAATTGTCTTGCTAAAATCTGAATGCATTATTAAATTAATTGTAATATACGTTTTTAGTCTAATTTCCAGTAATATGTTAACGTATAAAATGAATCCAATTTTTAATGAACTTGTTATATATGAACATGTTTGTTGACCTTTAATAATTAACACCTCATTTGGTCTTATATGTCACCATAAATAATAATAATAATTATAACAGGTCTATCAATTACAAAAAAAAAATGCGCTACTATAAATCCTTCATATATCTGTATCTTAGGCACCTTTCTGACGCTTAAAGCTTTCACAAATTAATGGCAAACCAATATTTTCGCTAAATATTCACACTTCTATATGCGCAGCATTATCCCTTGGAATACAATAAAGATCAACCTGTAGATATTAGCAGTATTTTAACTCAGCAACATATTAACCGAATAAATTACGATTTGGTCAACTTATAAGCTAGATGAGTGAAATAGACACTTGGATCATATGCTCAGGGTAATAAGTGGAACATAAAATATTATAGGGACAAAAAACTTAAAAGAGTAAAACTGACAGTTCAATTATGTCCTGGCATTGGTCGCTGTGAAAAGAAACAACATCTGATCAGCCAATATGAATATTAGCACTCCTGACGGCAGGCTAGTGTGAGTGGTGAAACGTAATCGGTAAGTATCACGATATAAGTTCCGAACGGTGTGTGTGTTCTTGCGCGCGTGTGAGTTTGTGTTTGTTGCATGTTCCATGCCATCATGTAAAGTGTGTGTATGCGTGAAAGTGATAGGATTACATGTATTTGTGAGTTTTCATCCAGTGAGCACAGCAGTGTCCACACCAGTATAGGGAAGCATCAGAATTTGGCACGATTTCAGACAAACGATAAAATTCCATACTCAAATATTGTTATCAGTCATTACAAAATGCTGACATTTTCAACTGCAAGTGATTAATGCATTCAATGATTTAGGAAAAGCCCTAAATTTCAATATTTGGCTGGTAATTAAAATTTGCATGTGAAGGCTGAACAGGATCGTCTAGGAGTCATATTTCACAAATAAAATGACAACATCAAATATATGAGAACAAGATAACTACTGCAAAAAGCCCTTAAATAAGTACACACACCGTATGTAAGCAGAGATCACATAAGGCAATACATACTTTCTAAGTTTACCAGAGAACAACCATTATATAATCAGCAAGAATGATTGTAAATAAATACAGCATCTGATTTTCAATCAACTCTGGAATTCAGGATGCTGACACATATCTAACAAATTACCAATAGCAAACTGATAATCCCCGTTCACAGACTGCATGTAGCGATAGGTATGTAGTAGTATTATGACCAGGCAATCTGTCAGGGTAAGATATGATAATGTAAGATATAGTCATGCCTGAAGTATGAAGCCAGACAGTGAGAGGTCTGGAAACACAACCTGGTATTCATGCAGTGGTCATAATCATGCACATAGCAATAATATCTTATCTTGATGATTAGCATTCCTGAAAAGTGTCCCAGTGCATGCATGTGTGTGTGCATGCCTATAAAAGGATTAATTTTTTTGTCGCTGTTTTGTGCATATCTATTGCCCATGCCTGTGTAACTATTCTTAATTACCCACTTAATTTTTAATATTTTTATCTGCTCATTTTTTCAGCTGTTTTGTTGTTTTTTTTTAAAATAAATTAGGCACAGTTCAAATACATGGCTTATGCTAATTAATAAATTTCCTTGGACCATTTGGCACCAGTAACTTGTCCCCTATTAATTTAAACATTACAACATTACAAAATGAGCAGAGATCACAGAGAGCATTATCCATGGAAGAGTAACAAAAAATTTGAGGTTTGACCTTTTCCATTAATTTATCAGCAAAATACTCATGCTATCATAAAAATTTACCATGTAAGAAATAAAAAAATTGACATAGGGACCGTTCACAATGAATTTTGTGGACCTATCTAATGCGCACCAACTCCCCTGGAATTCTTGCTGAATGCAATCAGATTAACAAATTAACGTGAATCCACTTGAGTAGAAAACAGAGATACAAGTACATTGTGAACGGTTCATAATTTTTATCTTAACCATATTTACACTAACTTGATCTATGATGTAACCAGTAGGCTAATAGTGGGTTCATGTGCTGTACACACACCCTTGAGCAAAAAAACAATTGTGACTCTCTCCGCACAGCAGCCTCAGTTTCATTACAATGGTGACTGTGGCGTTTTCATAGAGAAAACATTCACATGTGTGTCTGTGAATTTTACCCATATCCCAATGGTGGGTATAAGTTTTTGAACAGTCTTACCCCAAACATTATCAAATCCATTGATTCTATTCAGCATCAAACAATAAGAACAAAAAGCTTTTAGCTGTTTAAGGCCCTATTCACAATGAATGGCACACTTTTCTGTTTCCAGTGGTTTTAAAATATGAATTACCTAGACAGAGCACCAGCAATCAACATGGCTGGGTACTCTGGATTAATTTATATTGGTAAATTAGAGCCCATGAAAGAGAGTAAAATGCCCATAGCCTAATAACATGTTTGGACCAAGAAAAACTGGGACTATACAGAAAACTGTACTGCTTGATGTGAAATGGGCATTTGGGAGGTGGAATTCAGTTGTTGGTAGCTGGCCTGAGTAGCATTTGGAAACAGAGTAGGGGGAGAGGCAAAGAGGGAGGGGGATAAAATGGCTCCTACACCCCTGAGCTCACATGCTCCACTGAAACATAAGTGTGGATGCTGGTTGTGTCTCCGTCATCTTTGGTCGACTTTTTCTTCACCTCTAACTCGGTGTCACTGTGGGCACCGTTGCTTTCAAAGTCATCATCATAGCCACCATTGTTATCATCAGCTTCAGTCTGGGGCTGTGCACTTGCTGGGCGGGGCTTCGTTTCTGAGGTAATGGATGCATTGTCACGGCTACTAGTTTGAGAGGTTTTAATAGTTTCTGGCAACTTCTTTTGCTCCTTCTCATTTTCCTCTTCAAAGTCTTCATCATAGTCTTCATAAGTTTCACCCTCCTTTTTTTTCTCTGTCTGACCTTGCCCTTCACCTTCATCCTCAAAGTCATCATCATAATCATCATCTTCCTTGGTCTTTTCACCTTTTTCAAGGGTTTTCTTCTCCTTTTCACTGTGAGATGGACTCTTCTGGACAGATTTGACACTATTAGCTGTAGAGGTTGGTCTGCTTCCGGCTGCACTTCCAGGTTTAGAAGGCACTTTGGCACTGCTGCTATGAACACTGGAAGGAGGTCGGCTGGTCTTCTGGTTATCACTTCTGTTGCTTGTTGCAGAGTTATTTCTGCTACCCACAGAACTCCTCTTGCTTGCAGCAGATGCACTCCTACTATGTTGTGGACTCAAATTCTGAATGCTTCTCACACTTCCAGCAGAACTGAGCTTGCTGCGTAGCTGGGCACTTGCCTTCTCTTTGCTCCGGTTACTGGACGCTGAGCCCTTGCGACTGTGATAGGGGCTGACTTTGTTGTTGTTTATCTCCTGATGCACACTCATCTCAGATGGGGAACGAGATACATCCTTTGCCGACTTAATCACTTGTGTATTCTCTGAAGCTGGTTCAATGGACTTCTGTCTTTGCCCACTTTCACTGCTGTTAGCAGAATTCTTGCGGTGGACTTGCTCTTCTTGTTTCACACTATTTCTGTGGCTGCTTGCTGCTGAAGCCGGTCTTTCCTCACTCTGAGAAACAGGAGCCTTGTCTTCCTTGCTTGAAGTTCTGCTGTGGTGACTCTTATTGGAGGCAATACTAGATGGTGGACGGCTGTTTTCTTTTTGAGGGGAGGCAGGCCTAACATCACCCTCCTCATGTGCTCTTTGGTTTTCATTGCTTTTAGCAGATCCAGGTTTTTCTTTGCCCTTATCAGAGTTGGCCCCAAGACTATGTGTGTCCTCTTTTGCTTCACACGAGTCTGGTCTTCCGCTACTTTTGGCTGATTCTTTTCTCTGACTGGGAGGTCTAGAACCAGAATGCGGTCTGTCTCTGCTGCGAGCAGAATCTGAGCGGTTGCTTATCTTATCAGGAGACTGGTTCCGTTCACTAAGTACTTCTTCCTCCTTGATGGCAGGGGATCTCGGTCGGCCATGACTTGCTGCAGATTTAACTCGGCTACGAGCACTAGAATCGGAACTGTGTCGTGACCTGGCACTGTTGGTCTTAGAAGACACATTGCTGCCTATCCTTGACTCTGCCCTGGGTGGTGGTGAAGCTGGTGGACTATGTCTGTCTCCATAAGGAGTACTGGATCTTCTAGGCTCATCGTCATCACAGGCCTCATCATACCTTCCAAGTCTTGCACTCTGGCGGTCCTCTGCCACGGATTCTTTGTCCTCATCTTCGTAAGTTCCTGTCATTTGCATCACCTCTTCATCCTCCTCCTCTGATGTGAAGTCGTTGTCTTCGTAGACATAGTCAACGAGGTCTTCATCATCCTCATCCATGACAATACCACTGGTTTGATTTGTCCCGTCGTGGTCATCATCTTCATCATCTTCTTTGGTTGTGAGGGAGTGAAGAAGTCTAAGGAAATATAAGTGATTTAAAATAAGGAATTCAATATATTTGTTTTCATATCTGAATAAGCAGGTGTAAGATATTTGTAAATTAAAAAAAAAAGTCTAAATCTAATTTCACTTAAGAATGTTCAGTACAAACTCTGTCTGTGGATAGTGTGTCATTGTTGCGATGTAGTGTTAACTATATTAAAATTACTTAAAAGTACCATTGCTAGGAAAAATAATAGTTTGGTTATTTTGAAACAGCTAAGGAGTATAAAAACTTTTAAGAAATTATTCTGAATCCTGTCATCTTATGGATTTATAATTATGGAAGGAGATATTGGGGGACATTTACTTCATATTCTCTGGAGCACGCTTGGGTGACTTTTTTGAGTAACTTCCATCAAGAGATCTATCAAAAGAAGACTCATTTCTCTCTGCTCTTGATTCCTCTTGGTCCTTCTTTTGTTTTTCCTGTTGATATTTCTTTTGCTACAATAGATAGACAATTTTTCAAATATTTGTAGCTTGTTTAATATTTATCTTTTCATTAAAATGAATTTATCTTTAAATTTGTATTTTGTTACAGTTTTCCAAGTCATATGTTTTGACATTCAAATATATGATAATATACAATATATGGGTCACATCATAAACACCAATTTGAAAAACATCCACTGTAAAGAAAATTGGACAAACCTCTTGTAACTTCTGTAATCTTGGTGACTTTTTAGCATTCCCTGTTCCAAGACCTAAATGAAAAAAGAAGCAAAATTACTAAGAAAAATCTGCATGACCATAAATACTTCAGTTTTAAGAAGCATTTGAAACTTAACATGCCATTAACTGACAATGAGGTTTTGTTTATTCATTTAATATTTTTTTCTCATGAAATTGTTCTATATAACTAGAAGAAACTATTTTTAAAGTAAGTTATTGAAAAACGAAATAAAGACAATAATTATTTTAAAACATCCATGTAGGCACATACTATTGGCAGTGTATATATTATATATTAACTACCTTCTTTCAAATAGAACTGCACATAATTTTCAGACATAAGAGCTGCACCAACATTCCTGCTGTAGTTTTGGACTTTACCATTCTCCACTACATTCAGAGATTTCTTGGTAGACGGTCTGTACCTGTGGATCATATGCAGCTTGGCAACAGGTGTTTTTTCCTGAAAATAAAAATAATATATTATTACCCTGATGCTAAGCTCATCTTAATTTACATACTAAATGTTTGGCAAAAAAAAAAAAAAAAACTGAAAGTGTTCAATGATTTACTAATGAAAACTATCAGTGAATAAAAATAGGAATAATGAGTAATGTGCATCTAAGGAGATTTAGGCTTGAAGGCAGGTATAGGAAGATATACTGCAACAGTTACTTCAGGCTTAGGTATTTCAATCATCAAAAACAGGGTTTAATTCCCTTTAAAAAAGAGCATTGATTCTAAAATGGAAGTAAAATTCTGAATTAAGTTCTTGAGTTCAATGCACAAATACTTACAAAGACTTTGTTAGCATACTCTGTCAGTCTGTCTGCCTCTCTATTCAAGACAACTCTCCTGGAGTTGGGGTTCAAGTGGGGATGTATCACTTTGTCAGAGCTGAATAAAAATATACTTGAAGTTATAAAATACAATGTGCAATTGACATCTGATCTGCTTTATAAAATCCTTTTCAGTAGTTGTAGTCTTGCTTTAAGGGAAACATTTGACCCTAATTAATTCAAGTTTTCTTGCATAATAAACATGTTTTATTTTTTTTCTATTTGTCCACAGGGAAAATTGTCCCTCTTCCTAATAATCAAACTGCTACATCTATTACGTTTTAGCTGAATATACCCACTGTCGAAACTGAAATATATATAATGACACAATTTACAATGCTAAATTCATCAAGAAATTTAGTTGCACAGGAAATAATGACAGGGTTGGCATTTATCAGCTTCAGAAATCCAGACAAACCTTTCACTTTGTTCTTCTTTAAGTTTTTGCTTTCTGGCCTCTTTACTTGGCTGATCCAACTTTGTAGCATCCAGAACTCTGTACAGGTAGTCATACTTGTGCTGAAGAAAAAAAGATTTAAAAATAATTTAATAACAGAACTGAACTCACACAAGGATATTTTCTGGTCAAATTGTTGGTTGAATTGAAAATTTAAATTAAATCAATGATTACTTTGATGATAAACAGTCAATTTCAAAATGTTTATATTTTAGCTGAGTCAAAATACATGTTTATCACTTGGCTTATATATATAAGCCAAGTGAGCATATACGTGTATCATAGCATATACGTGTATCATATATATATAAACTTAAAGTATATATATATATATATATATATATATATATATATATATATATATATATATATATATATATATATATATATATATATATATATATGATACACGTATATGCTAGAGTAAGACCAACCTGCCATTACAAATTCTGTAAAGAATTTACAATAACCATGTCACTGTAATTTATTTTCCTTTCTTTAAATTGCTTATTTAATTCCAGTCTCTTGAATATTTTAAGTAAATGTTATTTATACATTACAAATTGTTAGAAACAATGTTGCAGGATGATTTACATTCACTTGCTCTCATCTCCACATGCCCAGTGAACACTTACCATAGCTACTGTTGTTCTGTAATATCCTATGCCACTTGGATCAAACCTTTCAGCCCTTCTCTCATAGTTCATGTATGTTTCACTAAAATGATGTAAATTCAGTTGAGATAAAACAGTGCTCCCTAAGAATCATGCTTTATAAATTTATCAGCTTCATAAGTTTAGAATACNCCTCAAAAACTGCATGTAAAGAAAAGGCAAAGAATAAAAAGATGATACGAATTTTTGAGGCCATTCCTATTTCCTTATCAACTGCCTTTTGAAAGGCATCTTTTAAACGTGAATAGCCTTCTATAGACGGTCTCTCTGCGGCGGTGTCTTCTCTATAGATTCCATCCATAGGTTTAGAATCCTGTCCCGCTGGGCTGCCGTCACTTAAAAGAGTCATTTGGTGAGAGCCATTGTCATGCACAGGTGAGGTATCGGATTGTGAGGATTTCCCATTCAAAGTAGCCGTTCCTGTTGACCCATAGTGCTCAAATGTTTTTGCACTTGATGAATTAATACCCCTGGTTAGATCTGGTGAATGATTGTCCTCACCGTCATGAAAATGACAAAACGCTTCCTCGTCGGGATGTCGTCCTACACAGAGCAGCGTTATGCTTTCGATAAACAAGACGGCAAAGAGCCCGGCCATAACCCCCAGTTCAGTGAAGGGATACTTGGTGTTGACACTGGCGCCCTGGATCACTCCATCCATTTCGTTTCTGGCCTCTGGAAGAAGATGAAAGAATGCCACACCTAAGAATACGCCTCCTGCAAAACAGTTGAGGTACCCCATCATTGAATTGTACAGCGTTCCATTCTGAACGATGTAATTTTTCCACCAGCGAGTAACGACTAAGGGAAGAAATCCAAACAATATTTTGAATACAAGAAAAATGGCAAGAGCCAGCACTTTAGTCTCTATGAGGTTCATACTGTTAAGCTCGCGGTTCGCTGTCAGCGTTCTCCAAGTGTCAGTGTCGTCTGTTAACAGTCGTCTGCTACATACAAAATAGTATGCATTAGCTTATATCTAAGGAGCTGCGGACTATTCACTGGGTGAAGCTGTGCATGTAATTATCGTCCGCACGAGTTATATTGCAGACCTTAATCTATTATTTTGATAACGGCGTGAGAAATTCATCCGACTTGAAAGTAATTCATCCGACTTGAAAGTAATTCTCGCCAAAAATAACAAGTGCAAAATTTTCCATGTTTATATGTAGGCCTAAATTATTTTGGCCCATATTGTTAGAAATAAGAATAAATTATGAGACTGAAATTTAAGAACTAAAGTAGGCTGTTTTCTGTTTCACTGATGCCAAAACAAAACAGAATGAAAATATGCCCGAAATATTTTATATAACAGTTTTAGCTTCCCTTTTATCTCTTGTTGGAATTTAGATATATAAACTACATAGCAAGCTTTAAAATCATCACACCACATCTGGGAGTGATACACAATACCTTTTTCCTGACACTTGGTCTGGTATAGAGTAAGGACATGCAGAATTGGAGCACCGAAAACTAAAACAACATTTTAAAACCAGCACATATGTTGCAAGTAACGTGACTAAAAAAAAAAAAAAACTCGGGTTAAGCCTGAATAGATTCTGGACGAGCCTCATGTTCTCTTCAAACGATAAAGTATAACGGATTTCCAGAACTACATGGCGTGAAATAGTGACAACTAATAATAGTGTCCCTACACATGATGGTCGCTTTCAGTAAGATCTATTGGCGACAACAGGGGGCAGTGAATAGAATAAAGTGACCATGATATACAGGCTATTTGTGTAATCGTCGTGTAACGCAAATTAAACGTTTTATCACTGATAAGCCCATGGTGGAAATACACTGTCTTTCATATCGTGAATACACTACAGATAATAAGGGGAAAGCGACTAGGAATAAAAGACAGAGCAGGTGCGAGACCATAGCAAGCAATTTTTTTATTTTTATTTTTAAAGTACGTGAACCTTTGACCATGAAACCTTCTTCTACCTGGATAAAATTTAACCCAGAGTGAACCGTTTTCCAGCAAAAGGGGGGTTCTTTCGTATTCCCCTCCCCCCCCCCCCACGCCCCCTCCGGGGCTACGGGCCTGAGGTGTCACTTGATCGTCTGCTCTTGTCTCTGTGTTCCAAGAGAGGTTGTTATTATATTAGGTATGTAGCTGGAGTTTCGAGATGTCCAGACGCAAATGTTCAAGTTTTCACCTGCACTTGGTTTTGGCGATCTTTTAAATAAAATTTAAGTCTCTATAGCCATATCAAAGGACATGCCTACGCAGGGCGGATCCGGGATTATTTGAAGGGGAGGTCCGATTTTTAGGAATGACAGGCAGCGGATACGAAGCCAACCCTCGCCCTCCACCTGGTGTAGGCTTAGGGTCCCGCTATAGGGCCCTTTAAAATTGGGTATTTCAGAGGGCGAACGGTGCCATATGGTACGGTTTAGAACTATATGGTTCAGCTAGTCAAATTCTAATCCAAGAATATTTTTAGAAATCGAAGGGGGGTCAACCCCCCTTGACCCCCCCCCCCCCAAATCCGCCACTGCGACGAATACAGGACCCAACCTGATAGGTTTCAGTCCAAATCACTTATCTTTTCAAACCAAAAAGGTAAACGAGAATAAACGATCACAGAATCCTGAAACGTTATATGGGTATAACAGCGTCTTCCTTTGCCTTGGCAACATTAACAGTAAATTGGGCGCATCGGAATTTTGAAATTCGAGAAACTAAGAAAGAAAATTTTGTAAAGAAAGCGGTCGCTCCTTTTGTCGCGTGGCCATATAACGTGAGGCTAAGCAAGTAATATCATTATTGGATAACAAGAAATGGTGCGCGACGTTAGCCATTTTACATGAGGAAAGGCCTTATTCAATATTGTAATTAGAGAAGAGGCTAAGACAGGTATAAATAACTGCTGACTTGAATAGAATCGGGGAGACCCAGGAGTGCGAAAAAGTTGTCTTGCAAACTTCATGACTCTGTTAATTCTATTCGGTCAATAAACCCCCTTTTCAACGTTTACAATATAAAGCGAGAAATGCCACCATGAACGCAAATGCGGTAGATATGCCCAATGCGTGCACCCTGAGCTTCAGAGCTAACTTGACACTAACCTTTTCACTGTAGCCTATTTCCATCGTGTCAAGTTACTTTACACGATGGAGATAGGCTACAGTGAAAAGGTAAGTGTCAAGTTAGCTCTGAAGCTCAGGGTGAATGCGTGATGTTTAAAGAAACATTCCAAAACAAGGCAGCAAAGCTGTGAAATGTACAGACAAAAAAGCAGGAAATAAGGATGCACAAAATACATTACTCAAACTTCAACAGAAATAAACTAATCAAACTAATTTTCGAATCAGTTCTGCAAGTTTCAAAGCAAAATATAATATGGGTTTCATTGTATAATGCTGGATAAAATATGCTTAAAAAAGCATAACTTTTGGAAAAATGGTCCGAACAGGCTCATTTTCGAAGTTGATCTATATTTCATGAAGATTCATCAGTTCTGTAAGTTTGGAGATAAAAGGTAAAACGGTTTTCATTTTATTTGTATAACGGTGCATAAAAAAGGGGGGGGGAACTTTTGGAAAAATGGTCCGACCAAGCCTGATTTTCAAACCTGTGTTGTTTTCTGAATATTCATCATTTCTCTAAGTTTGAAGACAAAAGGTAAAACTGTTTTAATTTTATTTGAATGACACTGAAAGTGCACGGCAACGACGACGACGAGGCCGGATTTTTTTTTTTTTTTTTTTACATAAACGATTTTGATTAGACCTATTGACAAAAAAATGTCGCGAGATAAAAAGACCTCAATCATAAGCAGGATATACTGGTCATATACGTAATGAACGGACCTGATCTTTTTATTTGTTAAAGACGCACAGCGATCTTTCCACGACTGCCCCGAGTGAACTCAAACTTATACCTACAGTTTCAGTCGTGCAATTAGTCACACCAAGGAACTCCTTATTCACACGCATGCAGCACTTAGCGTGGCGGCTAGGTTGGCGGATGTGATGCGTGTTTAGGATTCATATTTATCTCGCAATTTGGCGGCTTCCTCTGCTTTCATTACTCATGCTGGACAGGTCGGCCTGATATTGACTCCACAAATGCCAGACAAATTTTACAAGAGGTAACGTTCTATTCTTTGGGGGAAATTTTGAAAATATTCAATAAAGGAAACTATTTTTCACCGACACATTATTCCATAAGTTTCCTATAAGTATATTAACGATGGTTTTACAGAATGGATAATATAGTATCAATAGTTTCGTATTTTAATGACATAATAAACTTCTGCATCTCTTTTATCTCTCTTTTTTTATTTCGTCAAAATTAACGGATCTAATTTGACAATTTGTGTTGAATACAACCTGGCTTTCATGAAAACAACTCGTATAAAAACTTGCCTTATTTAAATATTATACACTATTAAAGTTAAAAAAGTGACTTGCCAAGTTGGTGTACAATTACGATTAATTTTTAAGGGCTAGTTTTGTTCAGCTTTTTTCACCGTGCCAGTTCTGTTCAACAAAAGTAACGACTGTTCTTTACCAAACTCTGAACAGACTCGAGTGGAGGCGGTATTCCATTGCGAAAACCGTGCTAGACGGACCGCGCCAGGTAAGATAGGCCCTATCAATTCACATGTCGGCTGACATGTACGACTTCCAAGTTATGAGCAGCATTGTCCGCACCAAATACGGGTGATTATGCCCCCTTCACCGCCAGTATTAATAGGCCGTTTTAGGTCTATAGTCACGATTAGTGACTGGATTGGTCCACCCTCCCTGTTCAATTCCCCTTACTCCTCTGATAACTTTGAGAGACAGTTACTGTACAGGTACATCAGCAGAGTTTAAGAAAAGTCCAAAAATTTATAATATAACCCCCAACGTCAGCAATATGCATCCATTCTTTGCTTTGTGTGATGCATACTTATCCCAAAAGTGCCTTCAATAATTAATTGGTGACTTTGGCACCCTACACTGGTACATCCACCTTGCACTTTCATAATATTTGACTTCGGGGTGTTTTCTTTGTAATTCAATCAATAATCTTTTATATAATACATGGTGTTGAACAGCTACCTTACTAGTAATTGATCTAATTGATTAATTATGGGATGGGTCAGCTAGGACTTTACAACTTGCTTTCAATTTGAGTCTGTAAAAAAGGTTGGCTGATATTTCAAGAAATATGTAAAAGGTAAGCAATTTATAGTACAGTGTATTAAAAAGAGGAAAACTATGCAGAAATGAACAGTTAATTCCTTCAATGTAATTATATGTTTAGGCAAATCTCTCTTCAAAGAATCAAGTTTGAAAGTATATTATTGATTAAGTTTGCCAGTTTAAAGCAACCCTGAGTGCTAAAAGTAGGCCCCTATTGTATAATAATGCATAGTCACCCAGGTCTTCCAAAAGTCAGACATTAGAATTGATATCACAGTGTATTAGTTCTGACTGTAATGTCAACAGGAAGGAGGGATTATTAGCATACTTCAACAAAGGTGTTATTTTCCTCTTTACACTGTCTCGCTAGGTATGAATGGAAACCTAGTCATATTATTACCTTTTATGTTACTTTACAGGGCCAACAACTAGTCCACATGACATTGGCCTTTTTGTATGCATGAAGCTGTGAGCAGTGCTTCTGAATGGCAAAGAGGTCACACTTAGCTATGTAATGTATAGGAAATGAAGCAGTCAGAGAACAAAGATCTTGTGGCTGTCATACCTTGTTGTGAATGAATCAAAGGAGGGCTGAGATTATTTGGGCTGGTAAGCTTGTAGAGAAGATAAGATGAGGGTGTGTGGGAGATTATACATAAATAACTGGTATGTGATGTAAAGTACAGTAGACCCACAGAATGTCTCTGAGCTGATATAGCCGGGATGAGGATGCTCTTTCTTTGAAGTGATCAAAGTCAAACACACATCACAGATGGATTTACCAGGTGCTTGTGAAAAAGGAACTACTGGGTATATAGCAAACGGCTGATTAGATAGGAGCCTGATGGACTTTATAAGTGTCCTGAATATTTTTTTCACAATTCAATGGCTCTGTATGGGATAAATTGAATTGTACCCCCAAGCACAGGAATGATTGTTGTGTTGACACAGTGATAAAAGACATCTGCAAATAGACTTTGTTGAGTGGCGGAATTTCCTCCCCCACACCGCAGTTGTGAATGATATTGAAACTGGTCCAAACCAATTCTCTGAGAGCCATCATATGAAAATGACTATTTTAAAGAGAGTTTCTCCCGTCTAACACCTGAAACACACTGAAGAGCAATTTATGAATTGAGTTTTTGTCATTGGTCCTCCTGCTTGTGCCACTAGGTACTGTATGGACCGTAGGAGTTAAAGAGAAGAGAACTGACAGCATGAAACCAGCCAGTGGCAACAGTTATAGCAAGGGAACACCCCTGAAAATTCTTAACAAGGGACCAGATTACTTCAGGGAGCGAGTGATGAAAAGATCATCAGGTAAAAACAGATTTATATTACAGTTATTTTAGTAATTTATAGTAAAGTGTAAAAGTTAAAAGGTATTGTCACATCCATTTAAATGGTGACTAATCTATGAGAGGTGTTTGAAATTACATGTAAATACACTATTGAATTCGCCATGATGTAATGTGCATTTGTTTAGTATGGGTGGGATTTGTATTAATTTGATCTCCACCCCTGACCCTGTAGTATTGCACAAAGCACATCTAATCTGTGGATCAATGTATTGTGCTGTGCAATTGACCCATTAGAGCCTGCGTCATCAAAACAAACGGCAGCCATTCTGGAGGGAGACCGGAATCGTCTGCTGCGCATGAACAAGCCATGCCTGCAGTTCAGTTTTCGTTTTCTGTATTTTCTTTGATATTTAACCGAGCAAAATGATGAATTACTGCAGGTTATTTGATCGAGAGAAGATAACTAACTTTACAAGCGTTCACAGGCTGCCTGCAGTGGTAACAATCCATAGTGAAGGAACTAAGACCATAAACGGAGGAGAGACGGCGAGGTGGCTTTGAATCAAGACTCTTCGGAAAAGTAAAGGATAAAACTAATTTATTTTATAGCAAAGAATGGAGAGCCAGCTGTGCAGATTTTACCATAAAAGAAAAAACAGTAGAAAACCAAAGACCTAGGTGTGTACATTTGGGGCGCACGTACAGTACACTACATATATATTTAAAGTAGTGCCCAAAAAGTTTGGGTGGAGAGTGTGTTAATTTGTTAAAACGTGTGGAAATACCCAGGCAGGGTGTCGACTTTTATAATGAAGACTCANCGTCACTGTAATGGGTTAATATCAGTCCAAGTCTGGTACAAGGGACCACCATCACTGAGTCATCCTCTTCTATGAGAAAATGAAAGCTGTATCACTATTGCTGGGAACATATTAATTTATTTTAAATAACTGTTTTCTATGAATTAAAAAAAATGAGAAAGATACAATCAAATATTCAACTTATGTAATTAGCATTATTATCTATTATTATTATTATTATTTGTTGCAAAAAATAATATTCAGTATGTGGCAAATATTGAACTTCCTTACATACACTGTAACTACTTATGATTTATATCTAGAATCTTAGTAGAATGTGTTACAATGGTTCTTGTGGTTGTCAAAAATGGATAATGTGTATATTATGGTTTATAAGATCTGGCATATGCAAATGTTTCTTTCTTTTGCTAAAAATGCTGAACAAGTTTGGGGGGCTAATACCTCACTGTCTAGCACGAACATGCAGCTGTAGTTTTGATAGGTTCAGCCAGCTGAGCATGAGGTAATGTAATTGGATTGAAGAAAGCATTTGAATAATAGCCACAGAGATGTCATGTAATGCACCCTATGACGAGTGATTTTGTTTTTTATGAATTTTTATTTAATATTTATTTTAATTTTTCTTCAAATGAATTATAGTTGTGTTTTATTTCTATATTTTGTTTTCAAGTTTAAAAAAGAAAAATTAAATATTTCTTACTCCTTTTTTTATCAAAAAGAATAAAAACACTACAAGTTTTTTTCTGTTCTAAGCATGATTAATTACCATGACAATTAGTGTTAATTATGAACAACAAATGCAAATAAGTATTGATGGTTAACAGTAGTACTGTAATATATTCTGACCAGCATGAGATTTGCTATCACTTATTTAATGGATTCAATAATAGTACAGTGTAGCATTTATTTTGGTCCTTCCAATGAAAGCTCCATCAAGTCCTGTTTCCAGTCACATTGACCTTTTGTCTAATTAAGATTAGATAAAGATTATACCACTAGAGGGAGTCATACATGTAAGTACAAAAAAGGTATGAGACTAAATAATCTTCAGTGGTGAGGACAGGGGACATTTTCACAAAAAAACTAGATCCCCAAAATTGGTCTTACCTTTTTGACCAGATTTTTTTGTGGATTTTGACCCAAGATGAATAAACAACTTGTCTAGTTAAGGTAAAATTAATCCTGTATTATAACAAGAAAGACACTGCTCCCATCTGCTAATACTTCGTTTATTTAATATGTGGACTACAATGGATTTATATTAAACTGAAGTAGACCAAATTTTTGGTCTAAAAATTAAAACCAGTTTCTGGGCTGATATACTTAAATGAAGCAGGCCCCAGGGCAAAAGAGGGATTGGATCGGCAGATCAGTGTCCATGTAAAGGGGGTCCAAAATGACTGGAAGCACAACTTTTTATAGGTATACAGCTCGTTAACTTGTCATTGTCTCATGTGTGTTATTAAGGCCGTCAGGTGTGTCCTGCATTTAACTCTGCCTGGTTAAGGCAAGTTCATGTGTCATATCTAGAGATAATGCATAGTGGGATAAAGTTCAAGTTGATTATTATAAATGCAGTCAAAATAGATGTTGTGAACCAGTCAAATAATGGAATTATGGGTGTTATCATATTTTTAACTTGTAGGTAAGTACCCTTGCCCTAGAAAGTAACGAAGTTATCAGTGATATATGGGTTGCTCAGTTTTATGGCACTTCATGCTGCTTACTAATTACTATAATGCTGTGCCACATTGTGAAGGACAACAGTTCTCATTAAATGAAAATTACCAGCTTTGTGAAGAAGGCTAGTAACAAATGAGTGCATGTTAAGTGAAAGCTAATAACAGTTTGGCTGATATATTAATGCTACAAGGGATTTCATAAACCCACAGCTGTTATTGTCAGAAATATGACTAGTCTTTAAAATTATTCCAAAAGGATGATTACATACTGCAGTTAAGTTAATGGAGTGTGCAGCTGCTCACAGGGGGGATGAGGGGATGGCATCATGTCATTAATTAGGTATTCCAGTCAGGGATCACATCACGGTCATAGCCTAGTTTGTGAGTCATTGATATACTGTTTATATCAGGTAAGGTTATGCCTGGTATAGTTGGTCATGTTGGCAGGGACTCTTGTACCATAGATATATGTAAGTTTCACCTACTTATATAATTGAAGAAGTAGAGTATTTATAAAATATTAGTCTGAAAAGAAATTTTATGAGTTCTACTTTTATTTAGTTTGAAGAACCTTTGATATTGTGTGCATGCAAATTGAATGTATAATTATCAAACCTTTTTTCATTGAAAATTACATTCTTGGCAATAGTACTAGTAATTGAAATTTTCAAAAGTTATACATTTAGCTGTCTGCTGGAAATTCAGAGGGCTTTGATAATCTATTGATTTCAAAAGCACTTATTTGAACTGTTGGCAATTTAGCCTTGGCCATTTTGACAGCTTGATGCAAGTTTAATTAGATTGTGTAGTACAAAAATTGATGCTTACAAGTGCCCTAGAAGATTAGATGAGTGATGCTGGATAAGCGTGAATATTCCTAAGACTTATTTCCCTGGAGAAATTTGAGAAATTTCATAAGAGTACCATCTGGACTGAGAATATAGTTGTAGGTTAAGGGTTTTAGGCCTTAATTCAGGAAGCACAAAGTTGATTGCAATTCACTTATAAGTTTGTAGATGTAATCTCTTGGTTAACTGGTCCAGGCCTTGCAATCAAGAATTTACTTTCCTGAATTATAAGGACTAACATAATTATGATAAAAGCAACTATGTCACAGCTTATGTCATTGAAATGTCTGTCATTTATCACAGTCAACATTCATTATACGTGACAACTACCCACAACCTGACCAAGTATTTCCTGAGTGCTTCATTTTATATTTTTATTTATTTTTACGAAATATCATTATCATGATCATTTTATATTGCATAATTTTATGACACAATGTTAAGGTTATTTAAATCAGGAACATATCATAGAACCTCTGTATTCTCTGGAAAAGGGCTCCCAATATTTTTAACACCGTAGACTGCATTCCCACAGATTTTTAGATCGATCTATCCCTGAGGGGAGTCTCACTAGATTGCTGTCAGCTTAGCTGGCTTAAATGTCTGTCCCGCCTACTAAATGCTGTAAGGGGGTAATTAACTTTCGTGCAAACTCGGCTGACAGCAATTTAGCGTGAACCCCCAGGGAGTTAGGTCAGTCTAGATGGATTGATCTAAATCTGTGGGAACCCAGTCTTAGAGACCTGAAGTTATGTCAGAGACTTAATACTAGGAGGCACTCAGACAACTTGGGAACAGTCATTTCTGACTGCAAAAGAAACTAGACATATATTTTGTCATAGCTACTTAGCTTTATATATATTTTGGGAACAAACAGACTTGCGGTTTGAAAACATTTTTGAATTCAAGACAAGGTCTAGTAATGGGATAGATTGTCAATGACAAATGATAACATTCTTACAAGCTTTGATGGAATTGGAGCATTTGTGGTTGAGTGAACATTAACACAGATAGAATGCTGACAATGCTGCCATTTTCGCTGTTCACTGGTTTCAACCAGCAACTCAGATGACTTCTTTACAAAGACTGATATCTTTTTCATCATATTTAATACAGGAAAAGACCCAGCAGAGTGAAGCAGTATAAAATTCACATTAAGTGCTCTTAGTACACAGGCACAGATGTTGGTTTTTATAATCAGGAATTCATGCTGCTGTAGTTGGTTCCTGGGTATACTAATAGCATCATGTAATCTGGCATTTGACTACTGTTATGTTAGCATTTGAGTATTTTTTTATATGTGGGACTTAATGTAAAAAACAAACACAAATATTCTTGTTGTTGTTTTGACATTCTTTAAGATGTCTGCCACTATATGATGTCAAGATCCAATTACACATTTTATGGGGCCTTTTCCTCCACATGGCTTAAACCAAGAGAACAGTTACAGCCGCACCTCTCTTCTTTTTAATTTGTGCAAATATATAGTTTTGAAGAGGAATTTTATTATTTAAAATTTTAGGATGCAATGAATGTAGGCTTTCGAAAAGGAAAATGGGGAGGTTTAAGAAAGCTTATTCCCCTCATATAGCTCCTTAAGATTGTTTTATTGAACAATGAAAACAATTTTGTAGAATGAATGAGGAAGTTGGTATTTATCGCATGATAAAACCTGGCTTGAACATTGATTGCATTTAGTATATTTTTTGGTACAATTGATACCCGATACTTAATACTTTTTATTGCACTAAAACTTCTTTATAATCAGAATTGTTTAGTCTACATGGATGCCTGTTTTTAATGCCTAGTTCATTTCTTAGTACCAACAAACTTGGGACAAACATAATATCAAGTAACAGTATTTAAAGCAACTATGCAGTTCTAACAGATGTCAGAATTGCATTTCACAGATTGGAAGAAGTTGAGAACATCTCCAACAGTTAAAATACAGTCTATTTATGTATACTTACTGAATTCAATATAATGTTTCTACTTTTCATATTTATCTTATAGTTATGTGATATCAGTTAATGGCTTAAATGACTTCTTAATCAGGTATGATGATGGTGCCAAGTAGATGTAAGAGTGCTGTTCAACTGCTGGAAGAAACAAAATCCCAGTATGTGAAAAGTACAACAGTTCTAGTCAACAAGCAGAAACCAAGGAATGCTGAAAATCTTCAAGTTGGAACCAGGTTTGTTTAATTTCTTATTATGGGATATAATTTTATTAAACATTTATTTACATTTTGTAAAGCGTTATTGGTCCTGTCATATGTTACTTCATCAAATGTTACGTATATCAAAGAAAAAAAACATTCAAAAAAATGTTTCAGAATCATCAGCAAATTATTGATGCTCACCAAACTGTAGTGGAAAGAAGTCCTATTATAGAAACATTGGGTTACTAGGATCCCCCTTTTTCTTCATGCTGTTGCCCACATTTCCTGGAAAGAAGTCCTATTATAGAAACACTNATATATATATATATATATGGGAAAAATTTTTGGTCATTTTTCGGGCTTTGCTTTAGCATAACTTTGGACTCGGTGGTGATATTTGGTTTCTATTTTCAGTGTTTATCTTCACTTACACCATTCTCTAACATAGTGATAAAAGAATTCTTTGATCATATGTATGTAATTTGTTAATTAGCAATATGTGAGAAAATATGAAAAGTGCCCAGGATTGTAAAAATGCCCATATAATACATATCAAAACTTTGATTAAGCAATAAGAATTGAATGTTTTTGGTACTGAAGGTGTGCTCATTTATCAATTTTAAATTGTTGTAACTCTTTAAAGAAAATAAAATACAGTGATATATAAGCCACTTACTATTAATTAAATTTGAAAATAAAAATCAAAAGGCATTTTACGGTGTTCCCGCAACTAGCATGTAAGTTCAATACAAAATGATACAATATCAACCACATTCATTCACTGTTCCTGCTAACATTATAATACATGTATAATACAATAAACTTATACTACTGGTAGTGTTTTACTTACAAAAGTGCACAATGAATTCATATAAAAGAAAGCTAAACTTACAGTTTTTTAGACACCAATCTCGATACATCATCCACTGTTTTTTGCGCCTCCCTCTCCAAAAGGCGCTTTTCATGACTAGATTCAGTGGAAATGTAAGAATCTGAATCACTGGCACTTTGTGATACAACACTCATTTTTGCTCTTGTTTACCACACGGCGTCAAATATAAAATTCGCTAAAATTAGATGTAAATGGTTAAGAGGCTTGAAAATCCGTTTGAAACATGTAAAACTCCACCCATATGTAATACAGTGCGACTACATGCTAAATTCCGCAAAGTTTAGTACATATTCCAAGGAATACGCGTGCTGCTTATCAACAGGTGTCATTTTGACGCCATCTTGATGGATACCAAAGCACGTGATAGCAACACGAGATTTGGAAGTTAGAAACGTCAGTGTTAAGCTCAAATGATCTATTTGCGTGTTATCCTGTGAACAAATGTAAAACATTAAACCAGAAAATTGTAAGTTTACGGTGTTAGAGGCCTTTTCCTTGCGTAAAACGATAAAAAATATATGGGCTCTCGCGAGATTCGCGTTTAAAATTCAACCAATCATATTGCACAGCGGCAGGATTAAAATCCCATTTGATTTCCGCATACCGTTACTACTGAAATTAGGGTAAGTAAATCACCATTATAGCTACGTCGATGTTATGAAATCATTCTAGGTTGTGCAGCAAGTTAAACTTTAACTTCATCAACATATCTGTCATTCACCCAAGTTATTTTGAGCAAAAACCAGGTGCCCTGCAGTAAAAGTTAACCAAGACTTGACAGTGCACAGCACGCTCGTCTGCCACCTACTGTAAAACTAGTACTAGAAATACCAAGTAAAATTACTTTTGTATACCACACACCAATCTCGTCACAAACGTATAGCATTAAAGACGATAAAAGCGGAAGGTATTTATAAACAAACTTAATTAAATGTCCATGATAATTATGTGACGTAGTAGTGTGTTTTGCAGACGTTTCGTCGTCTATCCAGGAGAGAGAGAGAGATGTTTATTATCGAAATCGAAAAAATAACTTTGCAGCTGATCACTAGTCTAGTTGTGCATTTTCCTTATCCTTGATTTCTTTCCTTCTGAAATGGTGTGCAATATATAGAGCCAATTAAGCAAAAGCATGCTTGACTTTAAAAATCAATAAAAAAGTTATTATTTTTATCAGATTTAGTAAAGTCACCATATGCAATAGGAGGAACAAATAATGGTTAAAACATTGTTTTTAAATCAATAAAAACATCTTGTATCAATTACAATGTAGTAGTACCGTAATTACTTCCTAGTTAGTGTATAAACTTATTCTTTTGATTGGTTTGTTGCAGATGGAGACTCCAGGTAAAAAGCCTGGGATGTCGTCCAAGAGGAAGCAGAAACAGAGTCCTTCGTATTCAATAAATTCTTCAAAGTCCAAGTTGAACTCCAGTCTGCGTCTTAACAGGAGCACCAGAGGTAAATACCATTGGAAATATTTTACTGATTTGATATTCATATCAGTGGATGTAAAGACATCTTATTATAGCTAAAGATAAAACGTGATACTATACATATGACAAGCAAAGAAGTTTTTCTTCTTTGTTGGAGCGAATTTTACAATACTTATTTAAAAAAAAAATCTATATAAATTGTCTTCTTAAATCCTCTCTTCCTTACATCATTAGCATGTGTATTCACTAATTAAAAAAAAAAAAAAAAACAGAGTGAACTCCAAGATCATTTTGCCTTATTTTTCAGTTAACTCCTCTGCAGTGAAAACGAAGAATCGTCAGCTGGCTGCAGCCTTGGGAAGAAAAAGTCAGGAGTTGGAGTTCCTGAAAGAGGAGTTTTGTGAGCTAAGAAATGAACACCATGAGTTGAAAGTAAAAGCACTGAGGTTTCACAGAATTGCCCAGGTGACCAATGAAAACATAGAAGAAGTGGTGGTTGGAAGAGTGCAGGTAAGGGAAATTACTAGTATTAGTTTAGGATTCCTGTCCTAGTTGGAGTCTGGGCTCTTTAGAAAAATTTAAATCTTAATTAAGTGGTTTTGGCTAAATGAGAAATTGAAATAAAAGATATGTAAAAGTAAATAAATAAATAAAATAAGAAGAAGAAAAAAGGAAAATGTTTTACACTCTTCAAAGCTGATTGAAACTGTAAAAAAATTTAAACTACTGGTATAACTTCCTAATTGAACTAGATCTTTATTTTTTAGCATAAAATTAAATAATGTTTCTCTCTGTATGTTTTGTAGGAACGCATGTGTGATGTCAGTGCTCTCCTAAATAAAGTTAGCAACCAGCTGCTGGGGGCGGTCAAGCTTCTGGGCACTGCTGTGGAGATGACCACTGACCCTAAACGCAAGTCCTTAGAAACGCTGTGTAGCAACAGAGCTTCCTCTTTAGGTGCCAATAAGTCTGATGATGACAGCCCTGTTATTGCAGTTCCAAATCCTAAGAGGTTGGTAGAAGAGGTTTTGTTAATTATAATCTTCAGAATTACCTGCTGAAAGATGAATTCCAGACCCTTGGTGTAGTTTGCTTTAACTAAGGAAAAAAATTGAGTAACATTTCGCCGTTTGCTTAAAACGTTTTTATTCCTGTTTGGTTCCATGATTTTATTTTCGTGAATGATGTGAAAATATGCTAGAGAATCTACAGCATTTGAAAGTATATTCAAAGTAGTGTGCTAACACGTATAACATATACTTGACTTATACTTCTCTGCTCTTTTTGTGCAAGTGGTGTTGAAAATATTCTTCACAGAATAAGAGAACTCCAAGAGTTGGATTTAAAAAATGGTACATAATGTACATATATGAAATGAGATATAGTTACTTTGAATAAATGATCTTAAAACTAATAATAATATAATTGCTTTTTACTTCAGGTCTATATACTATGATGCAGGATCTAAAAACCCAGCTGGTCGAGTGCCCCAAAAATCCTCCACCATCCCTCTAAAGCCAAAGCTCTCCACACCTGCTGTAGACATCCACCCTGCTGCCCTCAGTGCTGTTGCAGCATCAGTGAATGATGTAGCGGGAAACCTCCATGAGATGAGTGTCATCGTGGAGCAGTCGTTTATGGGAGAGAAGATGGACACCTTGGATATGAACAAGGTGAATGTGCTGGACACGGGTAAGTTTCTGTGCAAAAAAAACCCTCTTCAGGATAATATTGCTAATATTTTCAAGTTGATATGCATATTGATTAAAACATCTTTAAGAAGTCAGTTTCATTTCATGCTGAATACAATGCTTTTACTTCAGTTTTAATACACAAGACATTTTGTCAAAAAATGAAAATTGCTTTCAAACTTTTTATTTATCTTATCAGATTAAAAAAATCATTGCTCTACAGTTTAATTGAATCATTCACAAATAGTTGCTTTCCATTTGAATTGAATAATTCATAAATATATATTTACTCTTTGTTTTCAGTTGAAGATGGAGAAAACTTGCCAGAGGAAGAAGTTCCACAAGAGGAGCCAAATCCAACATCCAAGACGAGCTCTAGCCTGCCAGCCCCAACTGCACCAACATCTGAGAACCCTGGTTCTCCTGGCAAGTGTGACGCTGACATGCAAAACATGACAGTTTACTTGGACGAGCAGATGGATTTTACAGAGTGTATAAGTGTGCCAGTTGGTCTGGCTTCGTTTATTAGCGCCAACTCTGAAAGTGCTGAAAAGTCTGTGAAGGCGGAGGAAGCAGAAGAGCAGAAAGAAGGCAGGTTGTCCAGCCCTGAAGACAAGGAGGACTCCGAGGACGAGATGGACAAGCTGAAGAAGAAGCTGAAGGCAATGCAGAATGTCAAGGTGTTTGTAAATGACTGCAGCAAGACGAAAACTGAAGTATCAAAATCTGAAAATGACATTGCAACAGTAGAGTCTGCGATTGGAAAAGAAACAAGTGTAAAGAAAACCTCAACAAAAGAGCGTGCAAAAAAGAAGGCAAAAAATCAAGAGTCTTCTAGTGAGAGTCGCCCGCCCTGCACAGAGCTGCCACCTAGGGAGAGCAGGAAGTCACGCAGTAAAGGGAGGCAGGAGCCACAATACCGTGAACTGAGTAGCGACAGTGAGTCTGAAACCCCACCAAGTGACACATCTTTAGACTCCACGACCTCGTCCAAGAGCTATGGCATTGTGTTCAACAAACCAGGGAAAATCTCTTTTACTGCAGGTAATGGGAAGTGAATTATGTTAGTAATTTATTGCATTTTAATGTTATTATTAAATTATCTTTAAGATTAATTTAATTATTATAATCTGCAAATGTTATATATTAATTATTTTTTATTATTAGTTTGATTTTTCTTTGTCTTTACTTATGTCAGGGCGAATAGACATTTTGAATGGTGATGGTAAACAGAAAAGTCGTTTGCCAATTAAAGTTCCAACAAAATCGCGATCAAAGCACAAAACCAGCTCCAAGCAAAGATCTAGGACAAAGACAAAAAAAGATGAAAAGATTACAGATAAGGCCAAAATTCAGGATGAGCCCAAGTCTGTGTTTGATTACACTGGCACACCACAGTCAGCCGAAGAAAAGGGAGTTTATGACATGTCCATGAACGAATCAGTGCAGCAAGAAAGACTCCCATTGAGCAAATTTCGTGAGAGACATCTAACTGGTACTGAAGAGGCAAGCACACCGTCTGCAAACACCAGGTCAAAACCTAGGGCACTGGTGAGTTAGATGATAAATGTTTATATTTATTTATTTATTTATTTATTTATTTATTTATTTATTTATTTATTTATATGTAAATCTTTGATTAGCTGCTTGAAAAATATAATTACTACTGGATAATTATCATTAATCAGTATATATTTTACCACATGCATGAGTTTATTTACATGTTTTTCTTTCTTTTCAATAATCTAATAAAAGAAATTTTAAAAGTATCCTAACATAAAGTTTTTTTTCGTCAATATGTAGGTAAATAATCAGACATCAGATCCTGAATCTCAGTGTGAAGACAAACCTGCCAGGAGCCGAACTAAAACCATAAAACCCAAGGAGGAAATGAAGCTGGAGCCAGCAGCAGTCAAAAGTCGCACAAAGTCGAAAAGAAAAAGTAGCAAATCTGATTATATTGAACCCAGGAAAACAGATGATGAAGATCAAGAAAAATCTACAGAAAAGTCCACTTGTAGAAAAGACGCACAGACAAGACCAACAGGCAACAGTAGAGAACAGTTCACCTCTCAAACAAAACAGGCCATTGAAGACACCAGTGTTTTTGACTCCCCAGTGAGAAGCAAAACACAGGATGACAGTTTGGTCGATGAAGAGAACATAGTGATTGAAGAGACACCAGCTCCACTAGGTGGCAGTCGGTCCAAGACAAGACTAACAAGTGAGGAACATGTGCCGTCTGTTGCCACAGAGAAGTCTCCTGTGGCAGTGAAGAAGAGCAGGACTAAGACTAAACTTGATGGTGATAACATGGTGAAGACGGACCACCAAGAAGACCAAGGTATAGTAACCACATAATGCAGCACATTGTAGAGTCACATGTCTACATCAGTTTTTATGACAAATTAATGTCACCACACCTCATAAGAACATTGACAAAACCTGGAGATTTTGGTATATTAAAATTGATCTTAGTGAACAGTTGATGGCAGCTGTCTTGAAATTTTAACCAATTGAAATGGGACTTAAAAACTGATATTTTCTCAAATATTGTTTTAAACTAGAGACTGAAGTAGTAATAAAATTGTTGAACAGTCGGGTACAAACTACATGAAACATATTTAAAAAATTTTCAGTTGGTCCAGTCCCCACTCCTACCCGTGTCACTAAGAGAGGAAAGGAAGTCAAGTCAAAGAAGAAACATCGCTACACTTACTGTGTTGAAGATTTATTTTCTGGTGATGACAATAATATATTTCACGCGAATAATCTGGAAATTCCGGCACCATTAAGTGAAGATGCCTCTGAAGAACCAGAGAGAGAGGTAATGCTTGGATACTTTTATTCATTATTACCAAAGTATGTTAGGTTCATAACATACTACATGTACTGGGGTAGTGCTAGCAATTTTTTTTTTTTTTGCTTAGCCAAATCATCACATTTTGGTCAATTTGTCATCAAAATGGTTATAATTTGGCTAAAACAAGTCAAATCAAGCCCTTTTTCTTTAGCCAATTTAAGTCAGTTTTAGCATTTGGCTAAATTGGCGAGTGTTAGCGCTACCCCAGATGTATCATATAAGGGGGGCTGGATGGTTTCCTCAGGTTTTTTAAAATCTCTTTTTATTTGTGTGGGAAATTCAAGGGGGCTGGAAGTGGCAAACTTTTGTGAAAATTCAGTGCTTTTTATGGTACTCCTGATAATCTTATGCAAGGCTTGTCACAGTTCCACATTTTGAATATTTTGGATCATCTTTACTATTTTTATATTTGTTTAATATTTGTGTCATTTTCAACATCAGGTTGTAGAGGAACATGCTGTAGAGGGAGCCAACCATACTTCCCCAAGACAAGACCAGGCATCCAAGATGGTCCAGGAGAAGAAGAACAAGAAGAAGCATCGTTACACATATGTTCGTCCTGACAGTGGATTTGATGAAGATGTGGCTGGGAAGACTGATGAGAAAAATATCTCAGAAAACCAAGAGGGCATTGTCAGTGAGGGTCAAAGTAACGAGAAAGCCAAATTTGAAGACCGGGAAAACACACACAACACACAGAGAACAGAGGAGAAATGTGAGATGGATGAGAAGATAGATGGCAGTTGTCAAGAGGAGCCAGTGCAAGAGGAACAGAGTGAGGACACAAGTCAGGACAAAGGTAGAGTGTTGGAGATAAGAATTTCCTTGCAATTTTCTTAATGCAAATTCATGTTTGGTCAGAGTTTATTAATATCTAGAATTTTGCAGCACTAAGACGCATCCCATAATGCATCTTCTTCATTTTCAACTTGCCACATCAAAAAGTTAAAACCTTTTCTTATAGAATTATATTTCAAAAATTAAGAAAATGTGTTTTTCTTTACATTTGTGACATTCAGTTCCCTTATGTAGTTTTTTTTCCTTCAGATAAAGAGGAGAAGAGAAAACCTAAGACAAAGAAGAGATCCCGAAGTGTCAAGCCCTCTGAACAAGAAGAAGAAAGGTTTGTTTAGTTGTTGCTACCATTGATAATATCTCCCAACAACATTTTCATTTATCTGTAATCAATTATTGGATGTTTAAATTTTATGAAGCAGTTTTTTTTATTTATTTATTTATTTATTTATTTTTTAGATATAAACTTTGATTCTTTTGCCATATTCATAAAAGTATTCATGATTTTATATGCTGTAACAACATGATTCAGTTTAGAGTTTGTTTTTTTTTCAATGGTATAAAATAAATGCCATTGTTAATGAATAGGCTTGATAAAAGAGTTGATTTGGCTTATTTTTTCCCCCCGACAATTGTGTCACAAACATATTGTGATTAAAGTAGTGATATTATTTTCATTTGTGCAGGCAAAACGCAGATGACAATGGTGTAAAGAGACCAAGACGAGCCGCCGCCAATGTCAGCTTGAAGGAACCCAGTTTAGGAGGGTAAGCTTGCATCAAATGTGTGTGTGTTCGTGATACATATATCATCATTCAAATAACTGGAACCCTAAGTACAAACATTAGCACATTTTTTTTTCATATAATTAAAGAAATATCAGGCAGTTTTTTTTTTCATGAAACAAGCAGTGTTTATTGAAAAGTTATAAGAATTATACAAAATATGAATAATGAATCTACAGCTTCCAAAATAGTGAGCGTTTTTGGAGTAAAATAATAATATAATTTTTGTGTTGAGCAATCTTGAAGCAACAAATCATATATGTATATAAAAAAGATAAACCCTGTAGAATTTGAGTCTGAAATAAAAAAGAAAAAACCTTCAATTCTGTATTGTACCTCTTTTGAGCAATGTAATATAAATAAATAGTTAAAAATAATCATGCATTCCCTGTGGCACATGTAATAGTATAGCCGTCATCCCATTTTTCCCTGAACCAGTGTTCCCACAAAGAGTCCACTATCTTATAGCACTGCCTGGCCTTTTCCGTGTCCCTGGTTTTGTCAAACACCACCACCCAGAGAGGCCCGGAGGCAATGGTCCGTACCCTGTATCCCAGAGCCCAGTGTGCGTCAATGGCGTCTCGTGGGAACTTAGTGTCCACTATCCAGGTTTGTTCTGGCGAGTTCAGGAGGTCCCCGGGGTACATTATGACGTACCAGAAACCATGAATGTACGACACGTGAGATATGCGTAAGCCCTCGGCATAAGCCCTCTGAAGCAGCTGTTCGGGCCACGTGCCTCTTTGGTCCCTGCTGCTCACTAAGAAAGGACTGCAGGCGATGTCTGAAGTGTACTTTCTGAATATCATCACTTTCTTACCTCCCATAGCTGACATTGAGGAGAGCTCCCTGCCACCGTATTTCCACTCCTTTTCCACCATTTTTCTCAGTTGTTTGGGTGTGTGTATTTTAGAGTGCACCTGAACAGTCTCCCTGAACTTCCACTTTGGGTGGCCGTAGGTCTTGTTACAAAATAGCCATGTCTTAGAATTGCTGCACAGCATTCCTAAGCTGAGCTCCTGGTTGAGAAAGAGCCTGCAATCTTCTGTGGTCTGAAGGTGTGTGTCTGTGGTAGTGTACGAGTTCTCTCCTTGCCATCTTGGTTCTGTCATGAACACCACCCACTTTATGCGCTCTGCCTCACGACAGTCTACGTCGTGCACCGTTATCCTGTCGATTTCTGCCTGGTAAATGCCAGAAACCCCCGTGATAGGGGCCCTGGTGGACCCTCTCTTTGCAGAATGACCAACGCCAAATTTGGCCCATGTAGCAAAATACTCGCAGTCGTCATTGTCCATTTCATGCCCCTTCTGGCCATCCATGGCCAGCGCCCTCTCTACCACGGCTTGCGGGGGGAGGGGAGCACCAAGATGTGAATGAGCTTTATTATTGACCCGCGCTTCACCCTTTTTGGAAACCGACCTATAGGTGTCTCTGGTGCATGCAGTGAAGACCTGAAATCGGTCTCTTTCTGATGTTTTCCCTTCCTCAGCCCTGGCGCACCCTGAGGATCTGGTGGAAGTCCCCATGATGTGGACCAGCTCTCCATGGCCTATGTTGACTGCCCAGTGTGTGTAGTAGCCGCGGTCAAACTCCAGGAGGTCTCCGGGATCACCCGGCATCTCCAGGGTGCTGGCTGCCATGTGGCTACCTCTGTACTGTAAATTTGAGGGGTTACAGCTATTTTTTTTTCCACAACTGACCAAGTTGTTATCACTGCCTCAAGGATTCTGGGTGGAGTCTATCTTTTCCACAGTTAAAAGTTGACAGTTTTTTTCCTGTGATGTTTTAATGTTGACCAGACAGGATCTAATGCCATAGCCCGATTCTACCATCGTGTCAGTTGAAATCCTGGCATGTCTTTGACCAGAGGTGACTGATTTTCAAGCTTTTGTATCAGAAACAAGTTGAGTAAAGTCTTGTGAACATGCTCTCAACTCTTTTACTAGTAATAGCTCAGTTTACAGTGTTGTGGCCAAATACCTTTATCTGTTAGCATGTGCAATAGAGCTCCTTTTCTGAAATCGTCACATCTTAGAGATGAGAGCACACGGGCATCAACTTTCAACACTGTTAGTAGATTAAAGCTTCATTGGACTCCCGCGCTCTTTTGTTAGCTGTTGCTAATACCTCCCTCTGAACCTGCGACTTCTGCGAGATCAAGTTGATTCTAGTGCTTACCTTTCAAAACATCAATAACCAGTGCATTGTTATAGAGAATAATGAGGTCCCATTGTTGTGGCTGGGGACAAACAGCGTCACCCATTGTTGTGGTGCCTTGGGTGAATGTATGGGTTGCATAGAGCCTGGAGTGGTTTATATTAGGCTTTGAATTGATCCTAATAGCATGATAACTTAACAAATCAATATCCTTGATCTTGTATGATGCAGGAAGTTTGAGGAAGTTCTTTTTATTTACGTTTCTGATAAAAAAAAAAAAACACCTTTGTATGTGATTTGTTCCCATTGCAGGATTCTTTAAATTTTTTTCATCAGGTATTTAATTAATTTTGTGTCTGTTTGTCTTTTTTAAAATACTTTTTATAAACTTTCCCTTTGAAAACCTATTGCTTGGTCTGGCTGTTTATTAATGTGACAGAGTATTCATTTCCACAAATTTTCAAAGTCAATTATGGCCCATTCCATGGTATCCATTTAACTAATAAAGGGGAAAAAAAGACTTCTGTTGTTTCATTATTGTTCACACAGATTATTATTGTTATTTGATCTGTGCAAACAAAATTTTTATATCAGCTTTAATGTAGACCTTTTATTGCAACAATTTTAATTTGCAACAAATAAATTAACTTTGTTCACATGCTTAGATTTGATTTTAAAAATATTGGTAATTAATTCAGCAAGTTGAGGCGGGGGGATCCAGGCACTAGTAGTATCTACCAAGGAGAGAATATCCCACTGTATAAGGAGAAAAACAAACACAAAAAAGGTGAGTGGACAGGCTATATTCAAGTTCACTCTCAGAATTGATCCTTTTTGATAACTTTGTAAGGTCAACTAAACGCAGTGGCAACATTGTTTTCATTTATCTATCAGAAGAAATTTAAATAAATAAATAAAATAAGAATAAGAATAATGATTAAAATAAACAACAACAACAGAAGTGCATTCTCTTTTTAGTTAAAATACAGTTTGATAAAGAAAAGGAAACTTAAGCTACTTTTCTTCAGTATGTTCTTTTTTGTTAAAAGTTATTAATAGGACCAAAACATGCGTGCTAGAAATAAGCCTGCAGTTGTGACGTTAAATGAATTTTTAACTTTTTCGCTCATTTGAAATCATATTCATATGTTGATAAACGAGTAACAAATATTTATTTTAATCCATTTCAGATGCAAAGAAGAGGAGCACCCTTTCTAGCATTACAAATATCAAACCAGAACATGAAGTTGTGTAGAGTGGAGAAAACCTAAACCTCTGAAACATCTTTAGCTGATATTAGTAAATTGACTGTCTCTCATTGTAAATAATGACATTCATCATTTTTAAGTCAAATGTTTGCCACATATTTTAGGTATAAATGTAAACCCAGCAGCACTGTAGATGGTGATCAGCTTTGTATTTTAGTACCTGTTTAAACTTAATTGGCCAGTTACAAGTTTTCTCTTGTTGATGTCCGAAACCAAAAGTGTGTCATTTATGAAACTATGTGTATGAGAGTGATGTTGATGTGAAAAAGTATCATTACATTTAATATTATTTGTAGAATTTAGCTGGAATTGGCTCAACCATTTCTTTGGTGAATTTGTAGGAAGAAGACTGCACAAATGTAGTTTGAGTGAAAGTAACATTATAGTTGGAAAAAGCATTGATTAATCTGCATTTGTTAAATTCTAAAGTATAATTTTAAATGTATTTGAAATGTGTAGCAGCCTTTACACCCGAACACTGTATACACAATAAATGTGAATGAAATAGTAACATTTAAATTGAATAAATGTTTTAGTTTGAAGTTATTTTATTCTTATTCAAATGTACATTCTGTGACAAGAAATATTACTCTTATCAAAATGTTCCTGCTGATCTTAATTTTTTTTATGAAAGACAACAAGACAAATTACTTCCTATTATTTATTTTGAGATGTCTAAAATCACAAGTACAATTCCACTCCATACACCAATTGCATTCAATTTGTGGAAACTATCAAATTACGTAACCAGTGAATATAAATTAATACAACAATATGGAACATTTTTTTACATTTTAGTGTCATAAAGTGAGTTGTGCTTTGTGAAAATCACCTTGGTACTCTATTATATAATACAATAACAACCTTGTTGGGTAACTGGTTTTAACATACTATACTTGAAAGCATCAAGAGACATTCATACTTGATTCTATCAGTAGACTTACAGACTGAAACCTTGGTTATTGTTTAATATTAAAAATACATATTTCATAAATTGTTAGTATGTAAGTACTGTAATGGATGAGGATGTGGGTAACTGATGTTTTTATTATTTAATGGAAAGTATCCATCCATGATTATATGTCAGATACAGACAAAAAATCATGAACTTTACATAAATATATTAGTAGATATATATATATATATATATATATGCAAGTTATTGTACACACTAAGGATGGTATTGAATATATCACATAAATATATTAGTAGATATATATATCTGCAAGTTATTGTACACACTAAGGATGGTATTGAATATATCACAATATTGTTCAACTGTTGCCTGATACAGTCTTCCAGTATGATTATTGAAATACAACAAAGGTGTGTACCTGTTCATTACACCTCAGTACAGTAAAGAAAACATTTTCTCTAAAATTGTACCTAAAAATATTTTGACTTTGGCAAAACAATGATTCGCATTTGATATCAATTGTTGACAAGATGAGTTTCTTTTTATTTGTAGTTGTCTTTAAAGCATAAATCCTATAAGTTAGCCACTTCTTCACCTGCCCAATTTGTGGCATCCATCATTAAGTATTTAACATAACTTGGCTTCTTTATATGTGAACAATAAAAGTCAATACTTGAAATTCCCTGCCACTTAAAATGGAATGTATTTACTATTGTTTTGTTTTTTTTTTTTTTTTTTTTTTTTTTGGAAAAAAATACAATAACAAAAAAGTGAGAACACTACAATGTTAAAAAAGCTGATACAAAACAACTAATGTATAAGTATTCAATAACAAAAGCAAGTGACACGAACTTCAATATGTAAGTAAAGACAGTTATACATATGTACAAATATTATACCTATGCACACGAAGTAGCACATAGTAACAAAGCACTGTAATTTTGGAGTTTCAAAGAACAAACTCCAAAATTGCAGACGCTTCAAAACGAAATTTAGTTAACCTTTTTTTTAACCAAAATGCTGTTGATATATTTTATTGAAGGTAATTAAGACACTCAGTACTCCAATGGGAAAACTCCCAACCCCAGTTAGTTAGTTGATAAAGTAATAACCTCAAGGACAAACTAATAACCAATTAAATTAGGATTTGGGGTGCATGTAAATTACAGAATACAACTTTCATTCAGGTTTTTCATACTCTAAATTAAGATCTGACGTGAGAGCAGAGATAGACATTTCCAATATCCACCTCCCCAATGGCAGTGACAGTTGCTTATATTTGTGGACCTTTTACGCGTGATCAGAGATAAGCATTAACTACAATTACCGCAAGTTCTAATAACAAAATATTCAAATGAAAAAAAAAATAAATAAAAATTAATTCTGTACCAAATTCACTCTTTTTTTTTCATGCATACTAATATCTTAATCATTTACATCCTCAAATTTTCTTTAAAGATTGAAAAAAAAAAACAACAAAATACTTGTAATTAATGATCAACAATGCCTGTGTAATGTTGGGTCATGTTTCTTCTTAATAAATTAAAACGCTCTATTAATTATACATACATTCCTATTCATTGTAAGTTTTGACTGTAAAATAAATCATACGATAAGCAGCTGACATTAAACAAACCCAATTAAATAGTGTTCACAAGTCTAGTCACTGTGATAAATATGATATTAACCCCTATTATAATCAGTTTTCAATGCACTAAAATCACGAAAAACTGGTCAAAATGGGTTTAAATTGGATCAAGCAGACCTAGATGTTATCAAAATATACACCCAGTAAAGCAACATATTAATACTGGCTCCAAGTTTACTCAGTATGGTCATGTAACTGGTGATTCACCAGCTTGAAATACAACCCCTTTTTGGCCAGGAGATCCGCATGCTTCCCAATTTCACGCACTTTCCCGTGGTGGATGACGGCGATCATGTCGGCGTTTTGGATGGTGGAAAGGCGATGTGCGATCACGATGGACGTCCTTCCTTCCTGGGCGCGGTCCAGAGCCTCCTGGACGACCTGAAAATGGCAAAAGATGACAACAACTGAGTTTTTTTTCCATAAGTGTCATTTTAAAAGTTTAATTTCAATGAAACATTTGATAAAATTGCTATATTACCTTTGTTTTTGTCTTAGTTGGTTTGTTAGTTAACATACCTCACTTGAAAAGCTATGGGCAGATTTTGATAAAATTTTCAGGATAGGTCAGAAATGGGCAGACTTGAAATGGTAGATTTTGGTCCATAAATAAACAATGAGAACTGATCTGCCTTGCCACAAGTCTGCCCTTTCTGAGTGTATTTCTAGTTAATGAATAAGATGACAACCTGAAGTTTCATTCATGCACATAATATACTTTAAGTGAATAAATAAAACATTTACACATTATCAGCTTTGCATTTATCAACTGATTAAATGTCCTCACCTTTTCGCTCTCCGTGTCCAAAGCAGACGTGGCTTCATCAAGCAGCAAAATCTTGGGGTTACGAAGCAATGCACGGGCAATGGCGACACGCTGTTTCTGTCCTCCACTCAACTGAGTTCCCTTGTCACCCACATTAGTGTCGTAACCCTGCGAACAGTTAATCATATTATGAAATTTCAAACAACTCTTTTTAGTGCCAATATTTCATTTTCTTTGCAATGAATTTCATCACATTAGTTAACTCTTAGAGAACTCTTTGGAATCTAGGTCAAAGTTAATCCGAAGTTTGAAATTTCACATTAACACCAATCTTAAGGATTAAATCCCTTTGAAAAAAAAACCTTATTTCTTACATCAGGTAAGCTCTCAATGAAGCTGTGGATGTTGGCATTCCTGGCAGCTTCAATGACCTCGGCCATTTCAGGTTGGCGGCTGTTGTCACCGTAACAGATGTTGTCCTTAATACTGCAGTCAAATAAGATGGGTTCCTGGGACACTATACCCATTTGCTTACGCATCCATGAGATATTCAGGCTCCGGGTGTCACGCTTGTCCAGCAACTGAGAAAATACAAATTGTATGGAAAAACTGAGTTACATGAAAGCATAGGTTATGTGATTTATTTGAAGTTTGTCAAGCCCCTAGAACAAACATTATTACTCAATAACCATGCCCAGTCAGGAGTCAGTTAGGAGTCAGAAGCATCACATGAATAAATAAAGCTTTCAACACAAATTCATTTAAAGAACTTATAACATATTTAAGCACAATGACAAATCTCCAAACACACATTTAGTACATTACATGAAAATGATAATCAATATCTCCTACACTATCACCAAGGAAGGAACGAGGCCACACTTACCACATTTCCAGAGAGAGGATCATAGAACCTCTCCAGTAGCTGTATGGTGGTGCTCTTGCCACACCCACTGCTGCCCACCAGGGCCAGTCTCTGACCAGCGCCCACCTGGACGTCCAAACCACGGAGAACCTTCACATTGGGACGCGACGGGTAGTTGAAGTGGGTGTCCTTGAACTCGATATCGCCTTGGAATGAGGCCTGTAGAGGGGGAAAAAAAAACAACTTTAGATGTACTCTTTTGATAAGTTAGTTGAGACTGGTGGATGAATTGTTTTTTGATGTGTTAGTAGAGACTGGTGGATGAATTGTGTTTTGATGTGTTAGTTGAGACTGGTGGATGAATTGTGTTTTGATGTGTTAGTTGAGACTGGGGAAGGAAACGTGCCTTAACATTGTGTTCTGATGTGTTAGTTGGGACTGATGCAGAAGTTGTACCTTCAAATTTTGCATCATTATCTCATCAATTAAATCTGTATATATGGACCAATAAGTCAACAAAATACTACTGCTAGTACTTCCTTCTACAGTAGAGACATGCTAGTAACATCTAGCATGTCTTCTACAGTAGAGACATGCTAGATGTTACTAGATTATGCCTGGCACTCCATTAAGTATGATTGCAGTTTGTTATTTAACAGCTTTATCAATATAAAAACTAGCCTGAAACCACCAACTGTCCTGAAAGAGTGTAATTTTACCATTTGCAAAACAGTTGAAAACATTTCCAAGTTAAATGAGGATTTGATTATAAATATATTACCGGCTCTTCTCCCTCTGTGGAATAGCTATCAATCTCCGGCTCCCTGTCAAAGAGCAGGAATATTTTGGAGGCAGCTATCTTGGCCTTGTTGTAGTCTGGAGCAAAGGAGCTGGCCTGACCCAGTGCCATGGCGCCAAACACAACTGCTGAGAATACTCTGTGAATGAAGAGAATATAGGGATTAACTCTGTGTTTAACACAACATCAGAGAATAATACAATTCATAAAGTTATCACCCTTACTGGGATGAACTAAAACAATATCTGATCCACAACTCAAATTGTATTGAGCCTTGCTAATCATTAACTGGTACACAAAACACATTAAATTAACATTTCTCTTTCGTCTCACCCAACACATTTCTCATCCACCACAATTCCCATATCCCCCACCATGATCTCAAAATTCTCACCTGAACTATTTGTCAGATTCTAACCTAGCACTGACAACAACACTTACTTCATAATGTCCTCAAAGTTTCTCCTGCCATCATCGATGAGGAAGGCCCCAAATTTGAAGGCAGCGGCGTAGGCAAAGAACAAAACACCCTGCGTGAATCCAAAGGTTAGCCCTGTCAGATGAGCCTGCCTTGTGCTTGTCCTGGAACAATACAAATCTCCATGATTTAGAGCTGTTAATGACCATAAAAAAGTGACCAAATGATCACATTTTTGTCACACACACATGAACACACACAATTTAAACTTGACCATACTACTTAAAATGCAATCAATAATAAAATCTGTGAACATTTACCTCTTTACAGTCAATACATTCCTCGCCAAAGCCTTTCTTAATAATTAATATTCCCACAGCCATTAAAACATTCTAAATACACCTTTCTCTACATTTGGGAAAAAAACAACTTACTTGAAAGGAGCATCTAGCTTCTCTTTGTACAGCTGGTAGAACTTCTCCTCCTTGGTGAGGGAGGCCACAGTGCGCATGTTCTCAATGGCTTCCACGGCAGTCTGCAGAGGAATATGGAGTGTTAACAGGCACATGTAGAACTTGCACATAGTTACAGTATATACCTGCCACCACAGGTTAATGTACACAACACATATGTTAAGCTTTAGATTTTGAAGTACAATTTTACATACATGAAATCCTTGACATTTAAACAATACTAATGCCATAATAAAACAGACATTAACCTTTAAACGCTTTTGTATTCAAATTTAAACTAAACAAGGAAGATCAATGCTAACATGATACAAGTATTTTATAGCAATCTACCTGTAGGTCAAATTAATACCAATGTACAGAAAGCAATACACTCACACAGGCAGACAGGACTGGATAGCAAAATTTTCGAGCATGCAACAAACTCCTCAGTTGGCAGAAAACAGTCCCACAGAGTTTGTAATCAAATTTTTCATTACAAATTTGCAAGAGCAATTCATGTTTGCAAAGGAGTATTGAATTTGTCAGTAGACCTTATGTGCATGGTAAAACTACTTCTTGCAAATTTGTTTAAGACTTTGTGTCCTGAAATTTTGCTTCCAATTTTATTCCAACTTAATTTTATCATTTTTATTTTGAATCTGATTCACCAAGCTAAGGATAAAATAGAAACAAAAACATATAATACAGAGTATTAACTAGAAAAGTAACGTTAAAAGAGACAGAGATAAGGGCAGTTAAATTAAACCAGTAGAAAGTGGTAAAGTTTTTAGTAATTAGAATCAATTTGCTATAACTGTTAACCTTATCTTTTCTACCATACCCAAAGTCACCAGCTGTGGGATCTAAATAAAGGTTCCTGCTGACAGGATCAAAAATTCATGGGGCAAATTAAGCTGGATTTCCACATACCAAAAACATTTCTAACCTCAAATCCACTGTTTATAATCAAATTATGATTGACGTTTTTTATGATGACTTTAGACATGCATGCTTGTTAATTTTCTTATTGCAGTGTAAAATTAAGATTTTAGTTTAATTTGCATATCTATAGAGTACGGAACATCACTGCCCAAATCAATCTTAAAAACAGGTGATCCTTGTGTTGCCAATATCAAAATATAAATAAATCAATTTTAACACAATTTTGAGCTTGAATCCGAGGACATAGTGACTATAACCAATTTATATCTCAGAATTTCTCAGAATCTCAGAATTTCGAATCAAACTTTCAATTTGAACAAGCATGAGTTGGAAATCCTGTACATGTACCTTCCCAGCATTCTCTAGGGCAGCTCTATCGCGGATTATGGCTCCTTGCATAATCCTCATCTCCAGTGCCCCACCAATTGCGATAAAGGGCAAAAACGCGAAGATTAGTAAAGTTAGTTCCCAGCTGAATATGAAGGCTATGACTACACCCGTCCCCATGTTAGCTATAGACTGAGCTATTGTCCCCAGTCGAGCTCCAGTAGCCTATAGTAAAAGAGAGAGATAGAAAACAAAACAGGAGAGTTAGACAGTAATGCCATCTATTGGCCAACATGCAAACAATGTACCTTCCCAGCATTCTCAAGAGCTTCTTTGTCTCTGATGGTTGCCCCGTACATGAGGCGCATTTCTAGCATTCCCCCCACAGCAATGAAGGGGAGGAAAGCAATGATAAGAAGAGTCATCTCCCAACTGAAGACAAAAGCGATAATTATGGCAGTTCCCATGTTCGCAATTGATTGGATAATTGTTCCGAGACGAGCCCCTGTGGCCTGAAATTGTTGCAAAAAGAGGTTATAAAATTGTATTAAGTTAATGCACAAATCTAATAAAACAAGCTTTATAATAAAAGTTGTAACAAAAGTTTGTAAGAAAATAAATACAGTCAGTGTGTGATAATATGTCACTATACACAAGTATCGTCAAAATGCTGCCTTAATACTCAGAAATCCTTTCATGGGTTCAGGTCATTTAGTCATTAAAATTCAGAAAAAAAACATTGCACTGTCTGAACCATACTGTAATCACTGCTATCACAGTGTATATGTTCACAGTAATATCTCAGTTCTTGGAGTACAACCTTTTCTAAATAAATATGTTATTCTATAATTTCTTGGTCTTTTCATGGCAAGAAATATTGTGATAATTTAAAATATTACAATAATTATTATCATGATCATAAAAATTCATCTAAAACTAAAAGATGGATGGAACACTTATACAAACATCATAGAACTGTACTAAACTTGCTTCAATTTTAAATAAATAGACATAAAGGACTTTCAAATGTATGTTCATAAACATCCTTGAAGTTGGAATCTACACCTGAGCTATAAGAAGCTACACACCCCTTGTACTGCAGAGGTCTCCGTGGCCAGCCGTGTGGTCAGGGCCCCCGTGCTGTTCTTATGGTCATCAAAGTAGGCAATGTCCTGAGAGAGAAATCAAGTCTGAGAAAGTGCTTTTTTAGATGATAATTGTGGTAAAAAATAGTTCAAATACTTAGCTGCTGAAATTGTTAAATAAATAATTTTTAAAGAAGTAATTTTTTAAATAAACAGGGATTATCAAGCGATGTGGATTAAGACAAAAAATTCATCCTGCCAGGGGTAATATAAAAGATAGTAAGAGAATTAATAATTTTATCATTTATGGCAGTGACTTTTTTTGGGGTGTGGGGGTGGGAGATGGAGGGAGGGAGAGAATTGAACTTACCTGTCTTAGCATGGCCCTGAATGCCAACTGCCTCAGTCTCAGCGTCAAGTTTTCTCCAGAAACAGCAAAGAAGAACACCTAAAAGATAGTGAAACATTCACCAAAATTTGCATTCAACTAATGTGGATGTATATATTTATGTGCATTAATTTTCTATCTGTTTCACATTTAATGACATCTGTTTCTAAGGTAAAAACTAAAATCAGAAAACTATTCAAGTGGGTTGACCATATTTGATCCACGGTCTAGTTAGTCCTCTGTTGTGAATATGGCCATATATTATAAAACAAATAATACCTGGCAAATCATGGCAATAGCGGAGAGCACACCCAGGCCTAACAGTATCATGGAGTACAAGAAAGTGGTCTCTGCCTGTTTGTCTGCATGGGTTTCTGTTGGATATTCCACAAACACCTGAACAGAGAGGAAGACAAACTCATTACTGATTTTTTTAATTATGTTAAAAATGTAAGTAAACGTAAAAATCAACCTTAAATACTGAATTAAAAGCATCATGTTAAATTTCCAAAATATATATAATATTCTTTTATCATTATCTGAAAACAGAACGCCACTGTCAAAAATAATATATCCCAAAACAGCATAAAATTAATCCTGCCTGCCATACAGAAAATAAAATCACAATTTCAATGTAATCATTATTTTACAATAAAAATTTAAAGTTAATGTTTACTTACTCCCAAGAATTCGGCAAATATGATAGCAAAGGCTGGCTGTATGCCGCCATTGATGAGAGCAGAGAAACAACCAATCAGAATATAGAACCACTCTGGGGCATTCAGACGGAAAATACGTTTCATTGGAGGGTCTGGCAATTTCTGCAACAAAACAAATAGAGCATTATCTTATATCCATACAATATATGCCTAAAGAAAGTATTGTTACTTTGGTATAATTTTGTAATTAACAATCAAGGCACTTATAGACATGATAAGAAGCGTTTAAAGAAAATAACGCAGCTATCACAGTTCCCAATGAGAAATATATACACTGCAGTTTGAACTCAAGAACTAAAGTATTATGATTAAATCTTTGTTTCTGAAAAAGAAAAAAAATCAACTTGAATTTTTTGATGTAGTTAGTATACTGACCTTTACTACAGATAGACTAACCATCTTACAGTCAAGGTATCATTTTTCTGATTTCTATCTCACCTCTTCTTCTTCTTCCTCTTTCTCTTTCTTCTCCCCTTCCTTTGCCTCACTTTTCACTGAGGCCACAGATGTCATCCGGTTAAACTTGCGCTGGCTATCACGATGGCTCAGTGAACGGTCCAATTCAGATTTCTTGGTTTCTGGAATCACTTCCTCCTCATCTTCGTCTGGAAAAAAAATTGCAAGATAAAACTTAGTTTGAATAAAAACTGTTCTCATCCATCAAGTATTCAAACACTTGATTTAAAATACTGTTAAATGATAATGTGGCATAACTGGCATTGCAAAATAATTATTCATGAAAAAATTATAATTTTTAAAATTTCTTTTATAATCAGGCAAAGGCAAAGCCCAAAGAAAAATCAACCAAGCAGTGACAATTTTTTTTTTTTGGTATACTGCTTAAATATGTAAGCAAAATGACATGCATTTTTTCCATAACTTACTGTCAGGACAAGGAATTTTAAACCTGCACATGTCATGTGGTGTACAGTGTATGAAGTACCAATTAGCTGCTGTTCAGTTTTATCATCAGATAAGTTGCTTGGCAAGGTAAATGAGATCAACCATTTTGTACGATAACCAAAGCAGAAAGCTTGTTCAATTAGTTTTGATGTCACTGATAAGCTGACTAATTTACACCATCCTGACTTCATAGAAATTTGCTACAAAAACATTTTTCATGCTAAAAAGTCTAATCTCTATATAGAGTCCAGGCACCAAAAAGCTTACAATTTCAGACAGGACAAAACATACACATAAATATACATACACGTATATATATAAACCTGTTCTCACTGCAGGACAACATTTCCTTAACCAAAGAGATACACAAGTCCAACAAAATCAAAATTTTGAACCAAATCAATTATACACTTGGTAAAAAAACAATATCATATTATATTATATTATTTTTGTTCTTTTTAAAGCAAACTACTTATTAATAAAACAATGCTTTGAATTTGGCTAAAGCATTCTATGTTGGAGTGAGCTCAGTTCTATATCTAATTTTTGAAAACTTTTTTGAAAAAAAAAATTATTTTTACAGTAAAAATGGGAAACTGCAAATGAAATTTAACATGATAACTAACTAAAATGAGGAAAGAAATGTCACTATTGGGAAAATGCACTAACTTTAACTGGAAATAGCCAACCACCCAGTGTTCTATTGTACCAAGAATCTTATAATATTATATAATATTATGTGAATGTTATCAGATATAATGGTGACAAAGACCATTTCCAGTTTAAGTTATTACAATTACTAATTGAGGCCAAAAAATGACCCTCATCAATCAGTGGAGAAGAAAGCTAATATGTTGAAGATGCAATAATATTTATTCACACACACACAACAGTCTCTTGATCAAAGCCTTAATTCCAAAACAAAACAGGTGGAGAGTTTTAAGAAGTGTTACAGAAGTCAGAGGCCAATATTCCAATTTTTTGAATTAGCAAAATTTATCTTCTTTTTAAATATATCTCTCCAGCCATTTTGTATGAGAAATACTAATGCAAAAGCAACAATTATGATAAATTGGGAATAATCAGTCACAAGGACAAAAGCAACAAATAACTTCAAAGACGTTTAACATGGGGTTCTTTCTGCTCTGCTAAGTGCCTAATTCACCTTTGGATGTCAGATTTTATTTTGAGCTGTTAATAGCAATTTTTAATAGGCATTTTTTCCTTTTTTTTTAATAAGCTCAATGTGTTTAATGTATACAAAATTTTCAATGTAAAATAAGGTGCTTTACACAGCAGGATCAGATCTTATAATACCATCTTTGAACTAAAGCAAAGGCATACCGACAGAAAAATCTTGAAACTTTCATAACAGAAAAAAAGTTAAAAGAATATATATATATTTTTTTAATTCTTCATCACAGACATACCCGATTCTTCCACAGCAGCTTGATGCAAGAAATGAGAAATGTTATATGTTAAGAAGATAAATACTAGATAAAATATCAAACACAATGAAAGTAAGAGTTAGTTCTTATCATCATAAAGAATTTATATTCGTTATCTGTATCAATACACCAAATCTCAAAAGAATTATAGACAGTTTCAGACTGATCAATGCATTATCCTCAAGAGAAACGGCAAACTTTGTTAGTATTTTATTCTGACAGTCCACATTCACAGACTTAAGTGACTTTCAAATCAAAGGCATTTTACTATAGTTTAAAAGAAATACTGAAGAGTCTGAAAAAAAGAATAGTTAAGTCGATTACATAAATTCACTTGTACATCCCACTAGGAGCAGGCTTTTCAGTCATACAGACAAAAAAAGCAACTCCTCCAAAAATTGCTCTCAAATTAACATCTGTGAAAGGGAAATACTGTTGACTGTGTAGAAGTAGAGAACTAATCCTTATTGCCAATCTACTCTCTCTCTTTCTCTCTCTCTCTCTGACACACACACACACACACACACACACACACACACACACACAGAGAGAGAATGGCTGATGAACTTTAAGAACTACACTATTTCTCATTCACATGTTCCTGTATACTTGCACAAACCTACCACTACAAAATATTGGGAGAGGGCGTGTGGGTGTTTGTACACATACATATACTGGTGATTAAACCTAATCAAATGTAATATCACATTCACGTACAAAAACAAAATCAACAAAATCCTGAACCTGGTTTGATGCACTGTAATGTACAATATACACTGAAACAAACATAGGATCGGGATAAAAAAGCAACCAAAACCTTTAAATAAAATTTGTATGACATGACAGCAAATAAATAAATAAATAATTTGAAAAGCTTAAAATAAAATAAATCATTCCAGGTCAGCAAAGGCAAGGAGCTGGGGATAATGTGGATCAAATATAAAGTAAAATACAAACACCGTACATGGAATAAAGTCACTTCACCTACCCTGGACTGATTGTTGAAAAGCAAAAACAGAAATCATTCAATGAAGATATTGATTATATATAACTTAATAATTTAATGTTAGTAGTTGTTGGATCTCACAAACGTGGTAAGTTGTCACAATGGTTATCAAGCATTCAAAAAGTGTTAAATATACAAAAGGGAAAAAAAGATTATTAAATTTTTAAAATCTTTTGAGTACTGTCTCATAAAACATTGCAACTACTAACAAATAATACACACCATCTGATTCCTGATCCTTCTTCTGAGACTGAAAATGATGAAAATAAATAGTTAGAAACAATGGAAAGTTAAACTATCTTGATTTAATCAAAATCTTTTAACCAAATTGGAAAAAGATTAATCAAGAACTTAAAAATTCAGAGCATGCTTGAAGAATGACCAGTGAGACAGGAAAAGAGAGAAAGAGAGAAGCCTCCTTACCTGCATGGTAACCAGTGTGTAGTAAACTCCCTGTTTGCTCATCAGTTCGTCATGTGTCCCCTGCTCCACAGCCACGCCCTTTTCAAGACCCACAATAATATCTGCTGTCCTGATGGTGGAGAGACGATGGGCGATCACCAATGTTGTCCTCCCCTGACGTACCTATAGAACAATTCTTAATTTCTAAAGAAGCAAGACACATTTTAAAGTTCCTGGAGCTAAAGATTCCTAAAAAACCAAGAAACTGTATTGTAAAAACTTCCTACTTTATTCCAAAATGTCCTTCTTATAAGATTCCACAACTTCTTACACAACTATCATAAATATTTCCTGAACCATTATCACTTCTCAGAATATTTGAAAACTCCTTTTTCATGCAGTATTGAAAACAAAACATTCTGTTGGAAAAAAGGGTACTGAATTTATAGGGATACAGAAACTGTGGTAATAACCTATAACACTGACAGAAAGAAACATACCTTGTCCAGAGCAGCCTGGACAATCCCCTCACTCTCCGTGTCCAGAGCAGACGTGGCTTCATCTAAAAGCAAGATTTTCGGGTCCCTGACCAAAGCTCTGGAGATGGCAATTCTTTGTTTCTGTCCTCCACTGAGCTGAGCACCACGTTCCCCCACCAGGGTCTCATATTGCTGCAGAGGAAAATTTAGGATCATGAAAATTATGAAGAAACAAATGACGGCTGTCTAAAACATTTCATTATTAGTTGAAATATATCAAAACAGTATATCTGCTGTAACTCAATATACCTTCATTTTCACAAGAAGGCTTAAAAGTTGATTTTTAACTCTTTTGGTGTCTTCATTTCAGGATTACATTATAACTATGACAATAAGAATCATAATTTGAAACGACAATAGCTTGGACCTGTGAATGCTAAAAAAAATTGACATTTGTAGAAAATCCAATACTGCTTAATTTAAAAAAATAAAATAAAATAAAAAATAAATAAATAAACAAACAAACTAATAAAAAAAAAATCCACTTACATCAGGTAGTTGTGAAATAAAGTCATGGGCGTTGGCCTCCTTGGCTGCTTTCTCAATCTCCTCCTGAGTGACCCCATCCCGCCCATAGCGGATGTTCTCTGCGATGGTGGTGGCAAAGAGGACAGGCTCCTGGCTGACTACACCAATGTGGTTCCTCAGCCATTTGATGTTCAGGTCCTTGATGTCTACACCATCCAGGAACACCTGGTGAAAGATGTGAAATTTATCAACATTTTTCTTTTCAAATTTATCAAAAACATTGTTTTTTTAAGTGCCAAAACATCTTTTCTACTTATGAATGTCACATGTACAGTCTGTAAAGTTAGCCACCATTACAAAGCAAACTTCATGATTAATTTTTCCTTAATTTAAGGTCTCTCTTATTTAAAAACTCGTACACTTGACTTCTGACATGTAATATTTTAAGGTCCAGCTATTTGGCCAAAGACACAGATGGCATTTAGCAAACTACACTGTAAAAACAGCGGACTCAAAATAAAGATTCTAAGATGACACTGACCTGTCCTTCCTCTGGGTCATAGAACCTCTGTAGTAACTGGATACAGGTGGACTTGCCACAGCCAGATGACCCCACCAAGGCCACAGTCTGCCCTCTGGTGGCCGTCAAGTTAAACCCGTCCAGTACCTGGAATATAGCAGCCAATCAGGGGTCTGGTTCAGTATATATGCTACCTGCTATACACAGTTTATGTATGCATGTAAAGCTATACACAGTATATTTATGTATATATGCAGAATTATACACAGTATATATATATATATATATATATATATATATATATATATATATATATATATATATATATATTTATTTATATATATGAACGTATATATACAGAGTGAGAAAATCTACAAGGGTTTAAACAGACTGTGGTCATCTAAACATTGATTCAAAATATTAATTTCAACAGATCAAGATATTATTGATAAAATTCTTCTGTGTTTTTTTTCCAAAATGGCAATAAGTTATGACAGTGGCAGAAAATACACTATACCTTCACATCAGGTCTGGACGGATACTTAAAGTGGATGTTCTTGAACTCAATCTCTCCCCTCACAGAGTCCGGTCTCATCCCTTCCTCAGAGTCGCTGTTGATCTCTGGCACTTTGTCTATGATGCGGTAGATGACGTACGCGGCACCACGCGCCGTGCCAAAGTTGGCCAGGGTTGGAGTGGCATTCCCCAGGGAGAAGGCTGCTATGATCACAGCAAAGAACACCTACAAGACAGGAGTAGGAGGAGGGGTACATGTAATAAGGTTACATATAACTTAAAACTTTGAACATAACAAAATTCAACTTGGGCAATCAATTTACATTTAGACCTTTTCCTGACTTGATTTATAAGATGACCTAAGTGACCTGGAAGGAAAAGTATCAAAAATGCACACAAAATCCAATTCCACAGAAAATCTCACTTCAATAACTTGTTCCCTAATAATATTCATTATTATCCACCATACAATATAAATCTATAAACACATTTAAGATAATATTCCAGTCTGTACCAGCATCATGTTTCCCACAGTGTAGGTGGTATCTGTTCTGACCAGGTGTGCCCCATACCCAAACCCCAGGGCATAGGCCCCAAAGATGATCATCCAGGTGAACCCCATCCCTGCCCCTGTGGTCAGGGCCTTCTTGATACCTGACTTCTTGGCATCTTCAAGGTTGTTGTTATACCTGGAAAAAAAGTAATAATAAATGACATATCAATTTAAATCACTGTTATTTGCTTACCTTATTTGCAATAATATTAATAATACAGATAATATTTTTTTATATAAAATATCATTATATAATAATTTAATGGCATTGACCTAGTAGTAGCTTAATCTAAAATAAATAAAAGCTCCTTGTTTTTCTATATCAGACTTCTTGTCATTGTCAGTGTTGTGCTGTAATTGGGATAAAATTTAAACTACAGCATTATCATGGATCAAGATTTTTCCTTTTTGAAGTTAGAATTTCTGACATTACTACTGTTATTGTCATTGCTGATTTCAAACTCATTTAATATACCTGTTAAATGTAGTTTTCAAACTTAGTCCCAAATTGTAAAATAATCTATCAATAAACATGTCAATCTGGCACAAATGAATTCACTGTTCCATGTATCAGATCAGTCTCAAACATGCCTACCTGTCACACTCTTTATCCTGGCCTCCAAATGCTACCACAGTTCTGATAGCGCCCAGTACTTCTTCTGCAACTGAGCCTGCCTTGGCATAGGCTGTCAACTCATTGCTGGTCATTTGGGTGGTCAGCTGTGAAAGTTAATAATGTAAGACAATTAACCAATAGTCACTGCTATGATAAGCTGTGAAAATTAATCTTAACTATATTATGAAAAGAAACCAATGATTCATAGTGAAGACTAATGAAATCACCGAAAAAATCAACAAGACAAATCTTAATTGGCTTTATGCATAATTTATACTTTTTTACCGCATGCAGTCATGAAGGAATTCCAATTACGCAGAAATAATAAAATTGGCTTAATATCACATACCCTATGTAAAGCATATGTTGAGAAAAGCTATAACAAAAGCTACTGTCTACCCTTCCCTTCCTGAAAAGTTTATTGATTAAGAACCCAAAATTGCTTCACAATTTATTCAATACTCACATATGTCATTATCCCTGACGCCAAAATGATGAGCGGACTGACAGCCAGTACGACCAGCGTCAGTAACCAGCCTTTCACAAATGCCAGGATGAGAGAGGCGAGGGCGGCTGCTATCCCCTGGAAAAACTGACCCAGTTTCTCATTAATACCTGCAGCTATCTTAGAGATGTCACTGAAAAAGAAAAAGTAAAAATATATATAAGCCATGAAGGACCACCAAACACAATCTACCATAACATGTCACCTGGTGAGATTTTTCTGCTATAAAGTACTCATTTTTAAAGAAGTCTCAATGCCCAATTCATTTAAAACAATCATGTTGGATGAATTACAAACTTTTGAATTTCTACCCTAACTCTTGAAAATCTTGGCATATTCCAAGCCAGTGGCAATACTATACAGATGAATTTCCATCAGAATAATTCTGAAAACTCCCTTGAGCAGCTGTGGGGTGATTAACTCTCATGCTGCTCAAGGAGGCTTGTCATTCAGTTAATCTGATTGCATTCAGCCAGTGTCCCCGCAGAGTTGGATCGATCTACCTAGTACGATACTTTCATTGTGAATGCACTCCAAGTGACCACTTACTCAGACATCCTGGTATTCAGCTCTCCTGGCTCGTGTGTGTCAAACCAGCCAATCTCCTGGTGGAGCACGGAGCGGAAGAAGGCCAGGCGGATGGTGTGTGCCTGTCTCTCAGATGACCAGGTCCACATGGAATACTCCAGGTAGCTGAACACCATCACCCCAACACCAATACCTGGGGAAAATAACAAGTTGGTATAAAATTTAATTAAAAAATGCACAGGGGTAGATGGTAAAGGTTCTTTGACCACAGGTAAAGGTTCTTAGACCACAATTAAACTAAGGATATGCGATTCTACTTAGAAATGTTTCATTGTCAATCTGACATCTTCTCCGGTCTATACTGACAACTAAGTAGCATTCACATTGTCAGTGGTCAAAAAAAAGTTGTTGACACTCCCCCTCCCTGCCTTCTTAGTCCCTACCTGTCTCCAGTGACATCCGACCTGCACAATGTTGCTCAACACGCAATTGTAAAGATAAAGAGTGCCAAGCCCACCAAACAGAAACAAACAATCATCATATGTTGTAGTAAATGCAATATCCTCCATATGCAAGATAGTTGCCAGTATGGTTTATAGCAACCAGCAAGTAACAGGTGTGACAAAGTACAGCAGTGTGTTAGATGTGACACAGTGCAGCAGTGTGTTAGGTGTGACACAGTAGAGCAGTGTGTTAGATGTGACACAGTGCAGCAGTGTGTTAGGTGTGACACAGTAGAGCAGTGTGTTAGATGTGACACAGTGCAGCAGTGTGTTAGGTGTGACACAGTAGAGCAGTGTGTTAGGTGTGACACAGTGCAGCAGTGTGTTAGGTGTGACACAGTAGAGCAGTGTGTTAGGTGTGACACAGTAGAGCAGTGTGTTAGATGTGACACAGTGCAGCAGTGTGTTAGGTGTGACACAGTAGAGCAGAGTGTTAGGTGTGACACAGTAGAGCAGTGTGTTAGGTGTGACACAGTACAGCAGTGTGCTATGCGAAATACTCACCCACATAATAGAGGGCAAAAGTTGTCATCTGGTCCAGGATGTTGCTGCTGGTGCACCCTGTGGCATTGATCAACTGACAACATCCCCTAAAATAAAATGAATATGCCAGTCATAAGCAGTTTTAGGTGTTAATATCAAAGCACTTATTACTTCATTTATTATTATTATTATTTTTAATATTTTTTTCTGGCAATTATATCACTGATTTTGTTCAATTGATTTACCTAAAAGAAGAACACAGCCATTTGGTTAAAAGTAATTTCATACTAGGGCAAGACCAGTGAAAAGAATGGAAATCACTACAATTATAACAAAAAAGCACTCACTCCAAAACCTGTGGGTTCTTTCTGAAATATTCCTCATTATATGTAACAGAGGACTGTGTAGTGATATTATTGGCTGCAGCATTGTCAGCGCATGCTTGTAAGGCCCGCGTAACCACACTCCCATCTCCCACAAAGGAGTCAATCATATCGCCAAAGACCACGATCATCAACGGCAGGGCCAGTCCATGTATAATGGCTGCCAGGCTCCCTATGCTCATCAGGAAGTAGTCAAAGCCAGAGGCAAAGCGGAACTGAAATACACCATGGTCACCAATGACAAGTTATTGTTTCTTTAGAAAAAAAAATTCAGGATGTGCCAGGATTGTTGTTTTGGCATAGGCAGAGTGGAGAATGAAGAACCTTAACATTCCATGTGCATTTTCCAGGGTACCTAAGAAAAGGTGTGTTTGGCAAAGTAATTATTGACAAGTACCATAAACCTGTCAGTGATGTCAGGAAAACAGTTTCGCATTAAAATCGGGAGTGCTGTTCCTTTCTCCAAAACATGCAGTCTGTTCTTCCTTACCCAAGTTACTGAATTAGGATCATACTGAACTTTCTTCATAAAATTTTTAATATATCAAAGGCCTACCCAACTACCAGACTCGGCACCGAATGATCCTGAATTCACCGGTAGATCAGACCACACTACCCGTTTTCAAGGTGTGTGTCAGATCGCATTACACAGTATCAGACGCGACACCTTGAAAACGGGTAGTGTGGTCTGATCTACCGGTGAATTCAGGATCATTCAGTGCCGAGTCTGGTAGTTGGGTAGACCTGTATCTGTGCTTTGTAAAAATCTACAGATTTGGTCAATTCAGTACATTATGTATGTACACAAACAACAAACATTATCATGACATTTGACAGTACTGTGATTCTTAAGAATTACAAGCTAAAAATCATGCATCTATTCACCAAAAGGCCAAAAATGTCAAACAATGTAGAAAACTGAGCTTACTATCTCAAATACCCCGACCATCTTTTCTGGCTCTTCCTTCTTCTTTTCATCCTTTTCTTCTTTTGGATCTTCTGGGGAAACTTTGTTGGCGGAGCCTGGAAAAAAAATGAAACTAAATATCAGGGCTGTTTTTCACCTTGACTTTTTTCTCCAATTCGGAGGAAAACATAACACTGGTAAATCTGCAGCAGGTAGACAGGTGTGTGTGTGTGTGTGTGTGTGTGTGTGTGTGTGTGTGTGTGTGTGTACGTGTGTGTGGGG